TCAAAAGTTTAAAACCGATTTCGAAATTCCGAGCCGACCTTTGAAATCCGAAACCCTAGTGCTGAATGGCCCCGATCATCGATGGTGCTTTGCCTGGAAATGATAACGCGACACGCGCCTCCCACTACTAGTATTCTTTGTTCATGGACCACTCTGCAAGTGAGGTTGCCGCTGCGCTTCCATGGAGACTACAATTCCTAGCTCGCGCATGATTTGGCAGCTCAAATCCGCTCAGAGTTTGTATTACTGAGCTCAATTTGATACCGATATCACGCTGCACAGAAACTCGTCGCCAATCGCCATGTTCTCCATACTCCCAGATCTTACCCCGCGGGACGTATGTTCTTTCTGCCATTCGCTTACTAGCCCAAGCCCCAAGCTTCCAGGCACCTAAAGCGCCTCCGCTAACGCCTGTCCAATTCCCAGTCCCACTCCCTTTGGTACACCTCCTCCCGCAACCCGAGCGTAAGCGGATATCCCTTCGACCACGGCCTCTCCGGGGACAACCCGAACAGCATCCTTTTCAATGCCGGCATCACAGCAGCCACCAACCCAACCGCGAACCCTGCCATCACCAACACCGCCGACAACAACAACAACCACCCCTCCCGCCAGGGCCAGGGTCATGGGTCCTCCTCCGCCAACAACAGGCTGCTGACTCCGGCCCAGCTGGCCGTTAACGCGGTGGAGCGGTCGCCGCTGGGCCGGCTGCGCGCGGACGAGGTGCTGGCCGAGCGCCGGCGCGCTGCCGTCGCTAACCTGGGCTGCGGATGGCTCAAGCCACCTGGGGTAGGCAAGACGCTGCTGCAGCTGCGCGAGGAGCGCCGCGAGGCCGAGGAGCATGCCGAGGCGCTCCGCCGCGAGCGCGTCGCTCAGGAGCTCGCCGAGGCCGAGGCCCAGGCTGCGCTCGCTGCTGCGCAGGCCGGGGTGGCTGGTGCCGATGGTGGTGGTGGTGGGGGTGTTGGTGGGGAGGGGGATATGGTTATGATGGAAGAAGAGGGGGATTTGGACCTCGACTTGGATGTGGATGAGGGGGATGACGGCATGGGTGGTAGGGACTTGGACGAGGATATCCCGGATGCAGACGAGGGCGGGTTTGGGTATGATGGGGCTAGTGATGAGGATGAGGAGGAAGATGAGGAGGAAGAGGAACACGAGGATGGGCAAACTGAGGAGGGGGAGCATAATGATGCCTCGTACCTGGCGGCGCACCGTCGGCGGCGGCTCCAACAGCAGCATGAGCTTGCTGATAGGATGGCGAATATACGCGCCACCGAAGAACGCATGAGGCAGAGGCTGGCGCGTGGTGGGCAGCAGGGAGGTGCCACTAGTGGTGGGGACTTCTATGGCGCCGACGAAGACATTGATGAGGAGGACCAGGCGCATATCCTGGACGAAGATGACCTCGTGGGCGAAGGGCATAGACAAGACGAGGTGGAACCCGGCTCCGACATGGACATGGAGGCCAACCTTGACGATGAGATTCCCGAGGCAGAAGCCAGCGGTGGTTATGAGCACACCGACTCCGAGGCCTCCCTTAGCAGTGATGGTGATGGCGGGCACAACCTCAGCTACCGTCGTAGCTCGCAGATCCTCCATCACCGGAACAGTCTTCGGCGGAGTGGTGGGCCGAGGTCGAGTCTAGATATCAGTGGGTTCTTGTCGAGGGATGGTAGCAGCTTTATGGGCAGCAGCCCGCATGTTGGACGACGGACACAGTAACTGTGCTAAAAGGGGGAGCATAATCGGCTCAACAACGGCATGATACCCGCATTCGTACAAGGCGCTTGGCGTCTAGGAGTTCTACCAAGTTGGTATGCTATTACCGGCTCAGCACGTTCTTGTTGAACGCAGAATTGAGTGAAGCAATAAAACAGGGCTTTAGAATTACAATTTCGTTATCAGGAGTGCTTCGTTCATAACCACATGCGAGTTGTTGATACGCCGTCATGCCCAGCAATTAATATCCCAAACCCATGACGAGATAGTATACTTCCCAAGCTCCAAGCGCCTGTGCCGCCGGTCCATGACGCAAACCGGATCTAAGCAAATGTTATAGCCCTGGTAACAACCCCCACATCCCTCTCTAGAACAGCCAAACATAGACGAAGAGGAAGATCACAGCCAGGAAGAAAGCCAGCCACACCTTCCAGCCGACACCGGTCCGCTCCGCCATGACAAGCATTCGGTTCATGGTCCCGCGGAGACGGAGACGTGTCTGGTCGAAGCCCTCGTTCATCTTTTCGGCTAGAGCCGACGACTCGCGGATTTCATCGCCAATCGCCACGGTCATCTATGCGCGGGTCCGGGTTAGCTCTTTAGCTTATTTTAAACCGCGGGACCATAACGAGGGGCGGGCAAACTCACGTCCTTCAACAGCTTCACCTTGCCCAAAATACCCTCGACTTGCTCATCATTCTGGCTCTCGAGCTCGTTGAGCACCGCGTCGCTGTACTGGCCCCTAATTTTATATCAGCAACCCGTTCCCGGCAAGATCCGCTGTAAGCCGGTAGCTGAGGGATGCGCACTTCCTGTTCGGCGTCGCCGGCCTGTAACCTCCCCTGCTTTCTGACACACCAAGATGGCTGGTGCTGGTGCTGCCGTTGCTCGGCTGGTACCCGCCGTACCCGTACCCGCCGCCTAGTTGCTGCTGCCGACCGGGACTGGCGCTGACCGGCCTGCTTCCCGCGCCGGTGTATCCCTTGAAGAGGTCGCTGCGCGAGTCGCGCTGGTGCAGGGACGAGGCTCCGAACCTGTTTTGGTAGACGGAATGCGAGGTTAGCTTGACGGTCTGTTCAGAGCTTGATGGTGGATTGCGATGTTGAGGAGCGCCATGTGCCAGTAACTCGGGTTCGCGACTGAGAGATGTCGAAGAAAGTGTCGAGCATAGTAGCGCAATGTCAAAGAGGTGTCCTAGTCGAGACGTTGCGCTCCAGGACTCCGGTATGTCGTCGGCATCGCACCCCAGAGCTTGGCCTTCCACAGCGACATCACCATCCACAACGGGTTCAACAATCGCCGAAACTCACCTGGAAGCCATGCTGCCCGGATTTTGTAGAACGTAATGCTATCTTGATAAAAACTCGCTTTCCATGTCCAGTCGAAAAGGCTCGGGCGAAGATAAGAAAACAATACTGATAAAAAGTTTCGTTGTATTTGTGAATGACGAGTACCGAGTGAACAGGGTTCACGATACGTTGCCTTTTGAAAACTTGTTCCTTTGTCCAACCATGTGCAGCCAGGCTTTTGGATCCAAGTGGTCAAAATTGGCTCTCAATAGGCGACTAGATTGGCCAATTGTTGTCTAGACTCTAGCCTGTCAGGGGCTGCGGGGGAACGCGACGCTGGTCGTTTTCATGTGTTTTAGCAATTAGCATGCACCTGGAGGCGATCTGCTACCGAGCGATCAGTGTCCTCTGGCCACGGCGCAACGGTCAAATTCATATGAATGAGTTTCGAGATCTTGGAAAGCCGGCTTGCACATGAAGTACCTATTTTGGGCTGGTCAGGAGCGAGGGGAAACAATTTCAAGTCTCAAGTAGTGTTGATATAAAGACATTTGACCGACGCCAGATTGGACACTGCGGCCAGTGCAAGCAGCGGAGCAACAGGCGCAGAGCAATAAGAGGCCCCAATCGCGAAGCACCTACACAATGGCGCGGATCTGGTAGGATGCGCGTTGCTCGCTAATGTATTTACCATTCTGCAGATATCAACAGAGCGCACCCAGTTTCCATGCGCTGGTTCCCTCCACCTGCAACTCCCATGGCCCTTCCTTCGCAAATCAGCTAACAAGGCAGACAGGCCGCCAAGATGGTCCATCTGCTCAATGCCAGCTAAGCAATGCAAGTCCGAGAGTTGGGGGCCTAGCTCTTTGATTCTGTCGTGATATCATGTCCCATCCCATTGTCATACCAAGCGCGCGTGTCTTATATTCGAGATGCGGCGCGCTTAATCCTCGTCCATCTTCTCATCCTCAGCCACAAAGTCATCGTCCTCATCTTCGTCTTCGTCGTCCTCGGGGGGATTCTCCTCGGCCGCCTTGGCAAAGTCGATCACCTTGCCGCGGGTGCGGCGGCCAATGACGTTGTCAAGGTCGATTTCCTCCATGTTGTCATCATCCGCTGCTCGACGGTTAGGTTCGTGACATCGCAGAGGGGCTCACGGCACGCAATTGACATACCCTCTTCAGCTTCCTGCACGAAGACATTGTTAGCGCCAAGCTACGAATGGCGACGCGACTACAATTGCGACTGCGCGCGTGCACACTTACCTCCTCAGGAAGCTCATCGTCGTCATCATCATCATCGTCATCGTCAACCATCGAAGTATCCTCAACCTGCTCCTCCTCTGTGGCGACAGCCTTGCCCTTGCCCTTGCCCTTAGGATCGGTAGCAAGCGCGTCGCCCGTCTCTGGATTAGCAACGGCCGCGCGCTCGGTAGTTCCGTTCTCCGTGGCCATGTTTGCGATGAGGGCCGGTCGAGGGAGGGTAAGTGTTGTGGGCGATGCAGGCAGAATTTGGAAATGGGTAGGAGCGCTCAAAATTGGAAGTAGTTTGAGATTCGCGGGAAAATGGGCAGATAGAAGAGACGAAAGAGATTTGTTGACAAGGTGAGAGGCCGAGAGGGTGCCCGAAACTCTGACCGTCGCGCTTGTTTCTAGCGTTATGGATTGGAGCCTGTGCTTATTTGTGGGGTTTGCGCAAACTTCCCGCACCAGGTGGATCGCCCGTCGCCACTGGCGACCAGCTGGAAAAGTTATGTACTGTACAATACAGTATCCGTATTGCACTGTACAGTACAATACAGTAGCTAAGGGGTGGCTGCACAACAGACTCCTTGAGGGCCCCAGCCTTGAGAAACAGAAATGCCTCCGTTTTAAATGCATCAAGGGACCCTAGGGCGCAGAAGTATGATATGGGAGGATCAAGAAGAGATGCCATACCGTACGGAGTAGATAACGGACATAACCTCCCAAGCACCTCACCAATCCACATTCACGGAAAAGACCAGGCGGCCGGCGACATCTCGCATTTCGAAACCCCGAGTGACAAGCAGGACCAGTAAATCTATTCTCACTCCTGCCCGCCTCCGCCTCCGGAAAGTAACAGGAAGGCGCCGATAGCAATCGCCCACCAGTACCTGCACCACAACAGTCAGCATCAGTCTCTACCAACCAACCCCCTCCCATCACACACACCCTCTGAGTGTGAGTCATAAAACGTGAGAAGAATAAGAAAGATTCACGTACTTCTGCAAGAAACTCTTCTCCTCCCCTTCCCCGCCAGGACCTCTCCTCTTCCCCTCCAGGCTGAGAATAACGGGCTTGCCCAAGGCGGGCTGGGCGCCCTTGCCCGCGCGCAGAACGACGGCCTGGGGCCCAAAGTCACGCGTCTGGCCCGCGTCGATGCGCACCCCGCGGCACGTCACGCCCAGGATCTTATTAAAGGCACCACCATCTTCTCCCGGCTGCCCGTCGTCGTCGTCGACGGTCAGCACAAAGTGCGGCGCGTAGCCCTTTGCAAAGTTGGACGCCGACACCACCGAGGTGGGCGAGAGCCACTCCCTTGTGGACGAGTTGTAGACGCCTATTCGGAGCGGGGGAGTGGGTGGTTGTTGTTGTGGTCGTGATGTGGAGTCTGAGTTGAAGCCGAGGTCGAGGTCGGGCGCTTCGTACGCGAGGACTTCAGCTGCGTGTGTTTCCGAGTCCTGGGTTTGACGGTTATCTGGGATGGCAATCTCGGCGAGGAGAGCCGGTTGCTCTGCTGCTGCTGCTGCTGCTGTTCCTGGCGGTGGTGTTATGGGCTGGATGTAAATGGCTGCGGTCCAACTGCCATGGTCGGCGTTGACGAAGGCTATACTGCTCGTGGCGGCCAGAAAGGCCGGTATTATAGTTGGGAACTTCATTGTCCGTTGAGAGGTACGCTACCAGGCGCTTAGGCTGTTGTCGCAGAGCTCTCTTGAGGAGCTTGGGAACGGTAAGGAAAGTGGATCAGGCCCAAGATGACCTCTGCCACAGCTAGGTCTTGGCGTGGCTGAATCTCGGATCTTACCCCTGTGATAATTGTGATCTCATTCTCTGGGGGTTGCATCCTCGATACCTCCGTACCCCGCAAAACCTAACGTTTACGTTACGTTCCGTTACACCCCGTTACGAGTGAATCATGAATAGTCAATGGAATCAGTTTGCGGTGCAGTGCATGATCTGCCTCGATCACAATTTGCAGACACTTCATTTGTACGATATCCAAGCGAACCATGCTGTCAACGCATCTCCATCAACATGTGCGGTACCTCCCGTCAGGGTATCTCTGAAGACCTATATACAGATCAAACCCTACCCTAAAACCCAACAGCCTCCGGCCCAACTCACTGATCGGCCTGCTGCGGATGCTGTCCGGTTTCCTCTTCCAGATTGAGAATGCAAAAGAGCGCCCCCCTAACTCCGTCCGTCCCGAGGCCGGGCACCGCCGGTCCCATGCAATCATCCTTTCGCCAGCCTCCGGACTCGTTTATATAGAGAGAATCCGTGTGGTGTCCTGCTACCCGCTCGGCAACGGCTTTTTGCTCGTGCGCGTCGCAACACTCGCTTCGTCACCAATCACAGCCTCTTCATGGGCTTCCTCGACGTCATCAATGTCATCCTCAACGGCGTCACTGTCGTCAATATCCTCGCTTTCTCCAGAACCCTCTTCCGCCTGTAGCGTGTACCCGGGCGTGCGATCGACGAGCCCCTTGTAATAAGCGACAAGCACTTCTGGATTAGGGACGATCTTCCAATCGACCCGGTGCAGAAACTCGAGTTCCAACAATTTGAGCTCTTGAACCTTGACTCCGCCAACTCTTGCATAGGTTGAATTGTTCCAAAAGGCATCCGACAGCCCTTTCGCGGCAACCGTCGCCGCAGTGATAAGGAACCGATGGACGGTAAGCGTATTTATGGTAAAGTCGGGATATAGCGCGCATAAGCGATCGATATAATAAACCATGGATAAGAGGAGCGGAGGCGTGAGCGTGGCGTGCTTTGCTAGTCGGTGAAGATAATCCAGCACTGATATCCCCGGCGCGGTGCTAAAACAGATAGCGGTCAGTGCCCCACAATCGGAAAGAAAACAAGCAAGCGAGTTTGACACAGTAGGTCGGGCAGGTCCTACCGAGAATGGAATCGAGTGAGATGGCCCGATTTAAGGGCAAGAGTGTCATTCGTCTCGATCAGCTCCCCTAGCATATGGGCAATGAGAACAACCATGTCTTCGACGGGGCAGTGCTCGTATCGCTGTGGCAGGATTTTCGGCGCTCTCTCAGGCTTTGCTCGCTTGGAGAGCGTTGGATTGGTTTGCAGCGCATCCAGTGGCGCTGTGTTGGAGCTGCTGCCGGGCCCCTGCGAGTTCCTCCTCTTCGAAGGCGAGAGGGCCTGAGACGTAATGGGCTGCTTTGCGACGACCACCGCGGCCTTTGAGGGCCTCACCGGCGACTGTGTCGCGGCTGGTGGCCGATCACCAAGCAGTGCCATCGACGTAGGGCCCGAAACCGGCGGGGGATCTAGTGGCTCAGATACAGCAGGCGCTTTTCGTGAGAGTAGTGTACCAGTGGCGTAGTCCATAGGCTCCATAGGCGAGTATTGTGTCGCGGCATCGACAGCTACATATCGTTTCGGCCGCGGAACCGAAGTTGAGGCTATTGAGGCGGGGGAAGACGAGGCCGGCTGCCGCAGAGACTTGGCAGCAGCCGGGACCCGGGGAGAAGCTTGTCGCGGCGATGGCGCTGGGGCATAGTGGAAGTTGGCAAGGCTACTTCCAGGAGACGCATTGGCCGATACCGATGGTGTGGGAGCCGGAGACCGTGCCAACATCATCCCAATCTCATTTTCGTCCTGCGAGGCGCAGGTGCAGCGCGGGAGGAGGTTGAGAAGTTGGTGCGGCGGGCCCGATCAATCAATGCTATGGTGGGGCAAACAGGATCGGTCCGCCGCATCTGATCACTTTTCTGTTCGGCTTCCCCACAAAGAACCCTCTTGACTGCCACGGTAGCCCCGAAGCAAGCGCGGTGTCGGCGAAAACGACAGGAAGAACCTCGCAATATCGGAGCGCTATAGCTGGATAGGGTAATGAGTCGACCTCGGGCGGACCTGAGTCTCTTGGTTTTGCGCGCCGGGCCCGCAAAGCGGGATGATGCAAGATTAGATAACCTGGGACCCCGATCGAATCCTTATGTCCTCTCTGCTGGCCGCTGCGCAAATCACTCTCGAAACTCCTTCTTGTGGCGGTCGGTATTGAAAAAGTCGTCGATAAAGACGACTGATTATGTTAGGCATGAGCGGGTGCACAACCCGTGATATTTATCAATGCCCCTTTGCTCTGTGTGCGATGCATTCAGGGCCAACGGAAAGGCCGTGTGGAACAGGCCCAGATTATGCCCAACTTCCTTTCCCTCACCGAGCGGCTGCGTTTTCCGCACGCCTCAGTGGAGTTGTCCAACGAAAACAACCAAACGGATCACGTTGTCATGTGAGGGAGACCGAATAGCGGTGCCGTGATCGCTTAGCGTGGATCTGAAAACCGGAAGAGGAGCTTGGCGAAACGAAACGGCTGTGCATTCCACGAAGCGGTGACAGCAAAAAGGATTGCGATACGCTCCTTATCTATCGACGACCATGTGGCCGTTAGCTGGTGCTTATTGTAGCGAGCTGGCTAATTACTTGGCTTTAATATGGACTGCTATGTATATGTATGGATTCATTGATTTCATTCCACGCCCGTCCGAGCCGTCCTCCAAATAAAGCAGCGTGACAAAGCCCTGTGCTGCTCGATCTTGTGGATCAATTGGAGGGAGGTGTGGCGACTTTGAGAAGCAAGTCCCGAAACCACGGGCCTGGCAACCCCAGCGAAGCATGCTTCCGCTGTGTTCCTCTGCTCCCGGCTGCCCACGTGGACGTTTGCAACTTACGGAAACTGAAATGACTCTTGGTCTTCGAAATCGGATAGGGGGCTGTCTCAGCCAGCCCTTGATCTGGAGTTCTTGCAGACCGTGAGATCGGGGTTCGCATGTTGTGATACCTACATCCAGTGGTGTTCTGTCTTGTAGGCGACTGATGAGCGACAAGCCTGGAGCATTAGTGATGCTCAGTGAAGTCGATAAGATAACCACGTTAAGGCGGCAAGCACTGGCCAATGGCCAGACAGACCCGTTTGTGTAACGTTAACTGCCGGGGTTGGACGCCCCTGTTCCTGTGGTCAATGACCCGCATCCATTAGGAAGTCAACTTTGTCGAAGATGGATGGAAATTTGATATACCGGCGGCGACTTCATCACCTCTCCGATCAGATATCGCCGGAACACCAGCAACACGCAAAGCAACTAATCTGGTATTAACGACGAAACACAGCGACGGCGCCGCAGACCGGAAGTCGCAAAAGCGGGAAGCTACAAACGTCACATCAAGGCCAAACTCCACTCGAGCCTTCACTTGAGCTTTCGACGCGCAGAACGCAGAACGCAGAACGCAGAGCTTCCCCATCATCCCCGTCATCCCCGTCACCAGTCCCCCATTTCGCCTTCTACGTCTGGTACACTTGATACCCGCGAATTCTTTGTACAGCGAGCGGCTGGCCCCGGGCGGTGCGCCGCAGCGTTGAAATATTCCGATCGTTATGGCTCGAATCCAAAGCCCTCCAATTCTCTCGCAGATTAGAGTTGCCAGAAACTACTCGGAGCAGGCTGCCGCGCTTCGTTCCCTGAAGGATGATATAGTCGGCCACGTCCAGCGGAAAGAGAGATGGATTGAGTGTGGAATATTGGAATCGCTCGTCAAGATAGTACAGCTCAACAGCCGATCCCCGCCATCGCCAAGTAGCAAAGAGTCGCGATTGCAGTCAGGGCGATCGGGAGGTCTTGCTGAGGATGAGGTAGTACGGCTGTTGGCGTTGCAGCTACTCGCCAGTTTTGCATATGGTTAGTCTGCCAGGAGTTCGAAGCGCCTAGTTCAGGAGTTGTCAGGCTAATGCGAACAGGCGGTCCCTCGTTTCTCGGCCCTTTTCACGCCACTGGAGCGGTTCCCGTGATCCTGTCCAATATCTCTCCGCTGGATAACCCTGCCCAGATTGTGCTGACAGCCCTACGCGCCCTAAGGAACATCACCGACTCCACACGCCTTGCGCCCTCATGGGTGGATGACATCAACAGTCTCTCCGAAACCGTGTTCGCACCTCACTCCATCGACGCCTTTCGCTCCATCCTTACTCAGGAGTCTACAGACCCCGTGGTACAAGAACAAAAATGCCTAGTCGCGACCCTGATCAGCCGGCTCTGCAAGAGTCAGCATCTTCAAAATGCCCTAGCTGACGGCGGCATCCTGGATGCGCTGGCCACCATGTTGGCCAGCTTTGTGGTCGCGAGAGGGGAAGTGGTTCCGGGGGCAGAACTTCTCGGCCAAAGCGACGGCATGGCCGACTTGATACCAGCCCCTGCGCCCCGCGGTGCTGACTTGGGTCTGGTTCTCGAGGCGATATCCGCCATCATCGCCGACTCTCGTTTCCGCTGCTGTTTGTTGCTTTATTCCCCGGCTTTGATGGCCGTTTTTCCCTCGGCAGAGTTCACCCCCCCGGCTACGGAGTCAAGAGCTGCTTGGAACGCGCTGGAGATGAGCGGCCTCGGCAACATTCGAATCAAGAATCCCGGTGCACTGGATTATCTGCTGCCGGTCGTGCCAGTTTCTCAAACTAGAATCCTTTCCAGCCACTCCGCACAATTCCCGCCTTTGGGGTTCTCCATGTCCCGTGAGAATTTGGTCGCGGCTGGGCGATCATCTACTTTTCGATTTACGGGTTGGGACGCTTCGACTGAGGATTTGGACGGTGATGACCCAGAGAGCCCCTTGATTCCATGGCTCATCCACCTCATCCGGTCGACGCATGGACTGGAGCGAGTCATGGCTGCCTCAGTACTAGCTTCGCTGTTCAAGGCTCGTTTTACGAGTCCGGAGCGAGAGCAGGCACTCGCGGTTCTAGTGATCCCGCTGCTTTGCCAGCTGATGAAGGAGCATGACAAGGAAATCCCTAGCGCCGCCCTGCAGGCCGCCTACGTCGGACCCGAGGTTGCTTTGGATTGGGCTATCATGGAACGAACACCTGAGGTCTTGGCTCGGTTAGTCCACGACAGCGAGCCTCTGCAGCAGGCTGCGCATGAATGCGGTGCAATCAAGATCGCCGCGAAGCTCTTGAAGACCGCTTTCGAACCACAGTCGGTGCAATCCCCTCCGAGGCCGTGGTCTCCCAACCCCGACAGGGGCAGCGACGCTTCCGATGGCTTAGCTACGTGCCGGATTGGGCCTCCAGGACAGGTTCCAGCGTATGCACACAAAATTAGAATGAGGGAAAGCGCATTGAAGCTCATTGCAGCATTGGCTACCCTCAGGGAAGAATACCGAATGGAGCTTGCTGATGAAGATGTGGTACCCTACATAGTGGAAGCGCTCTCTCCATCGCCAGGGAAACCGAAGAACGCCAAGGAGAAACCAGCCCCTGAGAAGGGCTCTGAAGACGTAGATATGCCCAGCGGAACCTCACCATATGGACACAATCCAAATACTGTTATCATCGCAGCGTGTTATGCTGTCAGGGCGCTGGCGAGATCAATCAGGATTGTGCGGACGGTTCTCGGCGACAACAACGTTGGGATACCGATCAGCAAGCTGCTGAGACATCCAGATGCCGGCGTTCAGATTGCTTCCTCGGCCGTTGTCATCAACTTGGTAACCACGTTAAGCCCCATGTATGAGGTGCGTAGCTCTCTATCACAGATCTACAAGTCGAACAAGATGTACTAATTATAGTTTAGTCTTTGGTGGAAGCGGGCATAGTCAAAACGCTCTGCAAGCTCGCGCACTCGCTAAATCCTGGATTGAGGCTCAATTCGCTCTGGGCACTCAAGCATCTGCTGCTTGGTGCGCCCAGCAACTTGAGGAAGCAGTGCCTTGAAGAGCTCGAGCCAGGTTGGCTAGTGCAACTCATAAGCGATGACGCGTCCGAGGACGAGTCACTGCACACGCGGCTACGGCCCGAGCGGCGGGCTCCCCCAGACGCTGATGACGACGAGGATATGGAGGGCGACAACTACGAAGACGACAACGGCCGGGCCTGGGTCTGGCCGGCCATGAGCCGCTTCGCCACGGCCAGCTCAATGCCGCTGCGGGCGCCGTCGTCGCGGATGCAGCAGGCGGGGTTCAAGCTCGCGGCGCTCCGCGACTCGGAGCTCAACCCGGCGCGCAAAGCCCGCAACGACAGCCTTGCCATCCAGGAACAGGGCCTCGGTTTCATACGCAATTTCATTTTCCTCTCTTCGGAGCCCGAAAGCCAAACGGAGCTGATCGACTACCTCTTCACCGAGATCGGGCAGGACCGGCTGTTTGGCATACTAGCGGACAAGCTCAAGGTGCGCGTGGTGGGCGCGTTTGGGCGGCGGCACCGGCGCGGCAACCGCCACTCGCCGTCGTTGTCGTTGTCATCGTCGGCGTCGTCGTCGATGCGCGGCGTAGGCGTAGGTGTAGGCGATACGGTCGTGCTCTACCCGCAGGCGCGCATCATCGAGAATCTGACATACATCCTGGTGCACATCGCGGCGAGCATCCCGCGGCACCGCCACCTGGTGATTGCGCAAACGGAGCTGCTCAAGCTGCTGGGCGGCCACTTCAACAGCAAGGACGACCACGTCCGCCGCGCCCTGTGCCACCTATTTATGAACCTGTCGTGCCTCGACAGCGATGGCGACAGGCTCCCTTGCTCGCAGCGCGTCTTGGAGCTGGAGCGCCTCGGGTTCAAGGCCAAGCTCGAAAGCCTCGAGCAGGGCGACGCGCTGCTCGATATCCGCGAGCGCGCGAAGGCGGCCGTCTCTCAGATGAAGGCGCCTACTGCGTGAGGGTTCACACTTGATGGTTTGCTGATCGGGAAGGGTCTACGGTAGTGCTGACAAGCAGCGGGAAACTACGGTATGGTGCTGCGGGAGAGCGCCTCTTTTAGGCCACATGACCCCTTTTTTCTCCCCGGCGCATGGCGTTTCATGTATGGATGTCTGTATGTACTCTGCACCACCATCCCCCGCACGGACTTGCTGGATTTGATTTGGTTGGTCAGGGGAATTGGTTGCAGCTGGCTGGCGTCTTATGGAGGGTACGGCTCTGTATTGCACCTAGCATACGACTAGGGATACGGAGGATGAATTTGTCTTTGGAGGGGAACGAAGCGGCTGGGGCTGTCCCTTCGTCGGTCCATCTCGGGCAACGACACGGCAAGAACACGCGAGTGGACGGTACGCGCAGGTTAGAAGAGGCCCAGGAAAGCAACCTCGAGGCAACCATGTACAGCAGGCTGGCTATCTACGGCTAGCTCGGGGTCTCGGAGAGGTTGGGTGAGGGGAGGTGAGGCATATGCGGGGTGCGCAAGTCACGGGTTCATTGACCGATGTGCGAGGGCTGAAAAAGGTTGAGCCCCTTTTCGTACAAACAGTAACTAGCGGTCAAGCAAAAACTTCCGTGATCTTCAGCACGACTCACCTTATGGTTGTTTTTTGGCTTATACTGATGGGTGGCTGGCAGAGAACTGTCTGAGAGATGCTTGTCTGGCTTACAAACGGCCTAGCCAATGGGCGAGCTTGGAGCTCCCCCTTCCTCAAGCTCAGCTACATCACTGGGCGGAAGGAGTGGTGGCGTGATACATATCAGAGAATGCGAGAAGTGCCCCTTCCTTCGCCTCTGCTCGGGATCGGCGTTGTTCGGAGCACGAGCGGAAGTGCAGCGGGATTGCAGCGGCGGCTGCCGGTATAGTGTACTACACTTTCGGTATTCAGGATTTGTTGGTGATTAGCGCGGTTTCGGGCGGGAGTTGCAGGTCAACGTTCGTTCATTGGGGACGAAATATATCGAGCATGTCATATTGCTTGCCCTCTCTATGTGGTGTAACTTTGCCAACACGTAGATTTGAACAACCAATCTACGGGGAGCTACATCCACACTCCGGTCGAGTCTGGATGTGTAAGTGCAAAAGCTGGGTCCCCACTGTTTAACTCGTTGCTCGTTGAGGATAGGCTACCCTGATGGTAAATTAATCATCACCGGGCATCAATCACCAATGCCATCATCATCATGTGCTTCTTTCCTTGCAGGACAGGCTGCATACCACCCCGCTCCACCGAACCTTCCGGTAGCTTGGCCTCGCTAACAGCTTAGCTCGAGACATGGTGATGTGATGTCTGCATTAAACGTATGCCAAGGAAACCAATGCCGGGCCTTATTGCTACGTTTTTAAGCCTAGCTAGGGTGTGTCATTGGCTGGGCGAGAGCTCGAGAGAAAGAGCCAATCCGTTTGGGCAGCGGCGGCACACGGCATTAGTGGGCCCCGGGCTGCAAGCGGGTATGCAGGATGCAGATTGCAGATGCCTGGCTCCCGAAAGGGACAAGAGAAAGTGCGAGAAACAGAAAAGCATTGTTTTTGTCTCTTTGATTTTTTTTCCTCTCAAGAAATCAAGGAACAAAATTTTCGCTGGGCAAATTTTGAGTAGGAAAAATGGGTCTCTGACGAAAGAACGAAGGACGAAAACGAAGGGATTCGAAATTGTCAGCAACCCTGGACGGCGAACCCGGCTCGGCGTCAACGGCACTATCGCCATTTTTCGGCCGTGGGTTGGGTTTGCTAAGCTCCTAAGGAAGGGCGTCTGCCACGGGGACATCAGGTTGAGTCACTCGGCTGCTGCCGGTGTTGCCGGAGTGTTGTTTTGTAATCGGACACTTACATTGTCGCAATGAGCGGCATGGGCCGGAGAAGGCTAGAGAAAAAAACAGCTGCACCTGCGTGTGTAGCATCGAGTGACAGCATTGGCTGGGCTGAGAAACGCGAGAAACTTCCTTTCCCCGGGTCGGCAAAGTCAGCGGACGTCACTCGGATGAGGTGACTCGGGTGATGTCAGAAACGGCATGTATCGACACTACGCATACACTACCTTGTCCTTACCTGATCTTGACCAGATATGGGAATGGTACCCTTGGACTGTTGGGGTTTAGCGGCATGGATGGGCAAGCAGATTGTGAGTGTAAGTTGATGGGTCGTGACATGATTGATGAGGCTCGCTTATTCGATATCACCTGCTCCAAGTCAGCCCAATTCGTTCAAGTCCGGATTGTTCGGGAGTTCAAGGAAGCTTACAATATCCTGAGTGTACGTGTAGTGTACATACCGGTTGGTGTAGGGCGGACGAGGATGGCTCCGATGGATCGGTGTTACTGTTGCCCCTCCCTTGCGTGCCGTTGCTGCATCCAGGGAGATCACAGACATCATCGAGTGGGAGAACGAGAGGGCGAGTGAACGTGACACGGCTATAAGAAGTTGATACCGCCCCAATGCCACACCTTATTTCTTCCCTCATGTCCAGTCCATCCCCGCCCCAAAGTATAATTTGCAGTTCCAGCGTCTCTTGCTCTTCCCACATCCGCCTTTCCCCCGCGAATACCCAATACCCAACGAGGACAGCCATTGCCCTGCCTGCCTACCAGAGACAGCCACCATGGTAGCCCTATTCCCTCGAAACGACGCCTTGAACGTCCACCCGCCCGCGGGTAACCAATATCTGACGACCAACGGCTCCAACTGGCTGTTCACTGTCACGACCATCTTTGGAGTATCTCTTGTAAGTCGTCCTCGTCGTTGGCTGCCTCTTCATGCGATGGAAGGCAATCCACAGTAACTGACCCTCCACCCCCTTCACAGCTCGTCCTCTATGGCCTCAAGTTCAAGGCCCGAGCCGGCGAGCGCTTCTTCCACTACCTCTTCATCCTGGCCAACTTTGTCGGCATGATCGCCTACTTCGCCATGGCCTCGGACCTCGCATGGGACCCCGTCCGCCAGTCCAACGAACTCGACCGCAGCGGCCCTATCCGACAGATCTTCTGGGCCAAGTACGTCTTCTGGGTCGTCGAGTTCCCGGTCCTCATCATCGCCCTCGGAGTGCTCAGCGGCGTCGCCTGGGCCACCATCCTCTACAACGTCGCCCTCTCCTGGATCTGGATCATCAGCTACCTGGTCGCCGCCTACACCACCAGTAACTACAAGTGGGGTTTCTTCGCCTTCGGCTTCCTGGCGCACATCTTCCTTCTCATCTCCACCATGCACCACGGCAGGGGCAGCGCGGGCCGCGTCGGCGCCGGCCGCGACTACACCATGCTGGCGGGCTGGGTCAACCTCGTTTGGCTTCTGTTCCCCATTGCCTGGGGCCTGTCGGACGGCGGCAACTACATCGGCGTCACGCCCAGCCTCATCTGGTTCGGTGTGATGGACCTGGCCCTGCTGACCGTCACCTCCTTCGCCGTCGTCTTCCTCTCCCGCCGCTGGGACTATGGTGCCCTCAACATCGCTTTCACCCAGTACGGCCGCGTCCACGCTCCCGGCGGCCACTACCCCGAGAAGCACGCGCCCGCTGCCACGGCTCCGGCCGCCGGCACTGTCTAATCAACACCAGATTAGATACACTCTTTACTACTCCAAAGCATTGGAGGGCGGACGTACCAAAAAGGGGGTGAAGCCGTGGTCACTGTTTCTCTCCTTTCTGGTCCGTCCAGTGATATCAACCATTGGCAAACTTTGAGAAAATGGAAAAAAAGAATAACGGCAAATGAGAGCACATATGGTAGCGGTCCTTGTTTGGTTTTGGGTTTGGTACATTGTTTTTGATAGATGCCACGATACCCACAAACGCTCGTTTAGGAGGATAAAGATGACGATGACATTCGGCCTTCGGGGTAATGTATAATTCATGACTCTCAATAAATCACTTTTATCAAAAGAAAACCTTTGATTAGGGTATTGTGTCTCGATGAAGCACCATGCCTCTAAACTCGTCCTTATCTCAATAATATCATGTCGTCCTAATCATAAAGTGTTCCTTGCATCGTCATCGTTACCATGGCCCAGGACCGGAAAGCAAACCAAACCCAAGCAGCCAAAAGCCAAAAGTCAAAAGCCAATCGCAGGGTCCACCATCCCAGAACCATGCTATGCATCACTCCTCGCTGTCCCAAACCAAGCCAAGCCAAGCTTTCTGCAATAGGTAAACCGCCTAATCCTCTCGATCGCGGTCTTGTTCATCGACCAAAATCACCACCGTCATGGTCGCCGCGTACGCCTCTCGGATGGCACAGGCCATGCTATAGTGGCAGCCACTGTTAGACCACACCAACAACGGTCACACATATCAGCTTCAACGTGGAATGAAAGAACTTACCAAGTTCTCCCTAAATCAGCCACCACGGCGCTCAGCCCCCAATGCGCACACCACGCCCGCGCGAGGACTTCGTTATCCGGCACGCCAAACGCCTCGACAACGAGCACCCTTTCGTCGTCCCCTCCGCTGAGCGTACTAGGACTCGACACCCCCGTGGCGGTGGTGCGGTTGTTATGACTTCCGCTCCCGCTCGCGCCCGCCCCGGGCCCGGGTGGGGACAGCGAGCGCGCATTCCTGTCGTGCCGCTGCGCTCCTCCATAGACTCCGTTCCAGTCCCGGACTTTGACCAGCTCATCCGCCTTGACGGGAGTGTAGACATAGTCGAAAAAAAGCGGGTGGGGGCCATCGGAGCACGGCCAGGCCGAGACAAAGCTGACATCAAAGGCCAGCCGGAGCGGCCATGAGACGCCGTCAATGGCGAACTGGATACTGGCATCGTACCAGCGCGGGGCGGTCGAGCTGTTGTTGCTATGGCTGCTGCTGCTGTGGTTGTTGTGATTATTGTCGCCGTTCGTGGCAGCCGTGGAGGCGGTGCCGGGCCGGTCCACGCAGGGTCGCAGGCTGAGCAGTTCGATTCGGACAAGATCCTCCAGGTAGCCGTCGTCGTCGCGGTCGGGCCCTACCAGCGAGTATTCTCTCACCGGGTAGACCTGGCTTGGCGGGCCGAGCGGGTCGGACCGCTCGCTCATGGAGCGGATGTCTTCTGGCGTCACTCGATTGGGCGGACGGCGCGCGCGGATGCGGGCGATCTGCGAGCGTCCTAGGTCGCTTGTCGGCCGCGCCGGGCCAACCCACCCGGCCAGCTGTCGGCAGGTCGGGGCGAGAACCTTGCCTACAATCGAGGTCGCTGTCCAGTAAGTATAGCTGTTGCGGTATTGGAAGCCGCAGTTTGGGTGCACATGCGTCAGAAGGGACAGGTCGTCGGTGGCTTTGTCCGGGTCAATGTCGATAAGGGAGTTCATGATGAAGAAGGGGAAGGCGGGACCGGGCAGGACGAGCCCGCTGAAGAAAGCCATGGCGTGCGAGCTGACAAGGTCGAGCGTTGAGTCGGTGTCGCGGCGTTTGAGCGCCGAGAGCGTTTCCTCGAGGTTCGGCCACTTCATCATTTGCGCAAATCGTTTGAGCATCTTGACCTGTCGCCTCTTCAGCTTGAATCGCAGCTGCAGCTGGTCCGGTGTGTTGCCGTATTCTTCGATGCGGATATTGTCGCGCCACCTGCGCGCCAACGCTAGGTTCCATTGTATTGTCGGTGGTATCTGTGTAAGGAGCTTCTCTCTCGCTTCCGTCATGTGGTGGCGCGAGTTAATCCGGAGGTCCAGTTCCAGGCTGAGGAGCAGCTGGTGGAAGAACTTGTGGAATGTCTGACTGTTTGACGGGCTCGTGTCAAAAATGAATCTTGTAACGACCTGGTTTCTCGGGTTGGTGAAGTCGGTCCACTCGGGTCGTGAGAGAACCAGAATCAGGTCGGTGATCTGCTTATCTAGAGTCTTATGCGGACTCATATATTTATCTGGATCCTTTAGTAACCGCCGGTAGAGATTCCTGTACATGAGATCCTCGTCGTCGTCCTCCAAACCCCTCTCCAGCTCCTTCAGACGCGCAAGGATGGTTTCCAGCTCAACTTCGCGCGGCACAACCCCTGAATCGCGCAGCGCAATGGACGGGGGTACGACGCTCGCCAGGGATACCCAGTGGTTCAATGTGATGGTGCCGGGGCGTTTGCCGAAGCAGAAGGCGTAGCTGGGTTGTTCCAGCGTCTCCCAGGGGTAGTTGGCGGGTCCCGACTCGACGAGGCGTAATGTCATGAGCTGCGTCATGGAGTCGTGTAGGTTCACAGCGTCAGTCTCTTCGCCCCGATTACCGGCCACGGTCGCGAAGAGCGCATAGTAGTGGTCAGAAGCGTGGGGTATTGGCCGCTTGTGACCCTTAAATGCGGGTACGCCTCGGGATATAAGCTGCATGGCCGGGCCCAAGTTCAGCTCCTCGCTGCTCGACATTCCCGAGGGCGGCCACTCGGTCAGCGGCCCATGATCGTATGAATCGCTATGCGGATCCTCGCGGCCCTTTCCCTTGGTAGCGCTCAGGTCGGTCCGTCGTGGCCTCCGCCTGGTGCTCGAAATCCCGGTGGGCGCATCTGACCTCCTACGGCGATCGAGGACATCACCTTCGCTTGCCCTTCTCGGGGATTCTTTGACCTTGACCCCCTTGTCAGCACATACATGCGAATCATCTCAGTTGTTGCCGAGAGTAAAATCATACCAACTTCTCACTCTTATTTGCCGACTTTTTGTTAAGGAACAGGCTCCATAAGCTCTTCTTTTTGGACTCAGACATGGCGGGCGCGAGAGTCCCTCCTGGTCAGGGACTCGTCCTTGGAAGCTCTCTGTCTCTAAGGTATGTATTGATAGCCGCTAGGGTACTGCTACCATTTGGAAATTTCCTAGGGATACTCAATTTTATATGTGGAGCGGTCTGTGAGGCTGAGTTGCAGCAGACACGCGTGTCATGGCTTGCGCAGCGGCGCATGAGTCTGCGTTGGCGGGCAGCGGTGGGTAGTAACGTGATGCATGAGGCGGTAGACACTACACTCGACGGGTAGCATTCGCGGGCCCGGGTTGGGTATCAGTCCCGTTGGTTTGGGGAGCTGAGGACCTTGCCGACGGCAATGGGAATATCGTAGGCAGTTGAGGTGTGGAGGTCCTTGGATATGTATGTAGAAAGCTGTGAAAGGAGAGTCAGGAGTCCAGGCCAAACCATTGCTCCTTGAAGGCACAGCTCAGATGAAACAGGCATGCAGTGTCTTTGCCCACCAAAATGCCCTGCAGCCTAACTTTAAAGCTGGTGCGCACGTAAGGGACTCTACCCGATTCGCGCCGAGCCCAATCACTGACTTTCAGCTCTGCTCTGGTGATGCGAAGTCTACTACCGGCCGTGCCAGATCATTCAAGGAAGCAGACTGGGTATGGATATTGGGTGGTGGGCATCTCAGTGCTGCTTGCCTTCCAGGACGCACGAAGGGAGTGGGTGATCTCTGTTGGCACGCATAGGCTCTCAACGACAGCTTGAACGCTCCTACGGGCCACGTGCAGAGGTATTAGCTGGCAGTTCCGTGGTGAGATGCTCCCACCACGTTTCCAGGAAGGTTGCTTCCAATCGGGTCTAAGGTTGGGTGAACGACCACTCTGTAGAGTAGAGTGCGGGGATCAAGGGTCAGGTTTGGGTGCCAGAACTTCAGAAGGAAAGATGCACTAAACTTGTGGGGCAATGGGGCTCCCTTGGGGATCACACTCTCACCGCCCTGCATTCGTCGGGCAGAATCCAGAATTTTTAATGAATTGAAGGGAAGAGTTAGCTACACCGCAAGCAACAACCTACCTACACAGATTCCCAAGGACAACCGTATACGATGGCCCCTGAGCTGCGCAAAAGAAAATCAAAGCGTTAGTAGTTCAATACGGGCATCATGTTGCTCAGAAGGCTAATTACCCATCTCTAGCTGCTGTTGCAGAGGCGGAGAGAGAGACACCATTACCCCCCCGAGCGAAGAAGACAGCCAAGGCAACCAAGGCTACCAAGACCACCCCGAAGGCCGAGAAGCGCAAAGGTTGGTGATATCATGCTTACAGATCCTGAATACTGCTGACACAGTGCATCTGCTCCAGCTCCTGAGGATGCTTCCCCCGTTGCCGTAAAGAAGCTTAAACCAAGCAAGGATGTCGCCTCTAGCAAGAAAGCTGCTGCGCCAGCCGGCGACAAGGCTGCCCCAACGAAGTCGGCAATGAAGAAGAAAGAGAAGTCATTGAAGGACAAGTCCCCCGCCGAGAAGCCAGAGAAGAAGACCGCGGAACTGGAGAAGCAGAAAAACGGCGATGACGTGTCTGGCGACGAAGAGGACGTTGACGAGGAGACCAAGGCGCTGGTGGAGACTCTCGACAGCGACGATGAGGGAGAGGAGCAGACCCAGATCAGCACGTACAAGAAGGGCCAAGACGTCGGCAAGATTCCGAAAGCAAAAAAGCCGACCAAATCCTCTACCAATGGTAGCCAGCCGGGTGTCATGTACCTGGGGAGAATCCCCCACGGTTTCTACGAGCACGAGATTCGGGCCTACTTTGGCCAGTTCGGCGAGATTACGAGGCTCAGGGTAGTTCGGAACAAGAAGACGGGTGCGAGCCGTCACCGGGCCTTCATCGAGTTTGCCGATGCTGAGGTGGCCGACATTGCCGCGCGCACCATGGACAAATACCTCTTGTTCGGGCATATCCTGACGGCAAAAATTGTCCCGCCCAGCCAGGTACATCCTGAGCTGTTCAAGGGTGCCAATCGCCGTTTCAAGGTGGTGCCCTGGAACCAGATGGCAGGCAGGCAGCTGGAGCGGCCCCTGTCCGAGTCCCAATGGCAAGCGAGGATCTCCAAGGAGGAACAAAGGCGTGCCTCTAGGGCGGAGAAGTTGAAGGCCATGGGCTATGAGTTTGAAGCTCCTAAGCTCAAGCCAGCCGAGGCCAAGCCGCTGTTGGAGAACAATACTGAGGAGGCGCCAAAGGCTATAGAGGCCGCTCCCCTGGCCGAGCAAACCGAGTCTAGGGATAAGGAGATTGAAGCGGCCAAGTCTAAGGAAGCCGAACCTACAAAGGAGGCGACGCCTCAGAAGAAGAAGGGAAAGAAGGGCAAAAAGACAAAGTCATGAGTTAGAGCAGTAGTTACAATCTGGCGTTTTGCGATTCGATACCCTGGATTCGATGAGATACAGAGGCGCTTAGAACCAGCGGCTTACGTGTTGAAATGTCCGCACCAAGCGAACCTGACAGACCCTTGGGAGTAAGCTTGCGCTTGGAGGGCTATCAGGATTATAAAGCGCGAGACAGCTAATCTACTTCTGCCCGGTTGTGAAAAAGCCAAACTCTTTGCTGGTAGCAACGGCAGATTCAAATTTGATGTCAGGCGAAGGCTTGTGAAAGGAAGAGAAAAAGTGAAAATAAGATATGGATAGCGAGTGAAACTTTGAATCAGTTGGCATCTGATTATGTAATCATACTTACGGCTTGCTCTGTACCCTCTGTTAGCGTCAACCCTACGAAACTGAGGGATGCAAGACATACGGAGTAGGTAAAGTGGCATTCCACGATCTATCACAGACGTAGACAGCAAAGCCGCAACCGTCCGTTAACCGCCTGGTGCGACGATGGGATTATCTAATTAGTGTCTTGTATCCGTAGCTGAGAACACACCCTCTGGACTACGACTCTCAGTATCAACATTACCTACAAGAGTAGCTTCGTACAGTACCTTACTTTACATACAGCTGAACCCACCTGGTCCTACTGTGATTAGATCGGGCCTTGCTTGCAGCCAACATGTACTACTGTACCCCTTTCACCTTCACGGAGCCCATTGTCTCGTTTCGATTAGGTGTAAAAGGACCTAAGAGGTTGGATGCTGATAACAGCATGATAACGAGCCGCCGTCAAGGCACACGAAGGACCAGCTGACTCGGGGTAATACGAGAATCTTTGGAGGGTAGAAACTTGGCTGGCAGTGGGTGCCATCCACTAATACCTACGTCTGTGTAGGTACTAGGTAGGTGCAAGCAGTCTCTAGACCCGCGACCACGATCAGAGTCAAAAAGACCAAAACAGCAGCATTTGCCCGTCTTCGGGATCCATTTGTATGTACACTAGTCCTCCACAACCACGACGCCCAGCAGCAAGCACCTCCAATCGCAATTGAACCATGTCTTCTCCCGGTGGCCTGTCCGTCCAATCAGCAGCACGAGGTACGTCTAGATGTGGGCTGGGGTACTGCACGCCGGCGTAGCCACACAGAGATGCAGCGGTTTAGGCCACATCGTCGCCCTCGATTTCTCGTTTATCTGCATTCGCGCTAATGGGAAATGACGCGCAGGTACCGCCGTCGATCCCAGCAGCAGTAAGAAGAAAAGCAACAAGAAGAAAAAGGCCAACAGCACCAGCAAGACAAGCAACGGCAACGCAGGCGCTGACACAAACGCCGACGCCGACAAGTCGCGGACGCCAGCGCTCATCAAAGACGGAGCAGACACCGGGAAGCATGGCGCTGGGAGCGCCGCGGTCGAGGAAGTGTCTGGCGAGCTTGAAACTCTAGACCTGGTATGCTTTGGTCCGCATCATCTCGCTACGTTGCAAGCACCGCCTAGTTGTTCTTCTTCGCTGGTGATCGCAAGTTGGAACTTGGCGGTGCATCTTCGCACACTGTGTATTCAACACTCTTCTGACCTACGAACGTGCAGAGTTCTGTACCACGTCCGCAACCACATCAGGATCCCACAAGTGAGCACTTGCCACCGGACGGGCCAGGGTCAGAAGCGGAAACGGAAGGAGATCGGACAGCAGCTGTTGGAGCGGCCGAGAACGAAGAGGACCAAATCTCTGCCGCGAACGGCCATGCCGGCGCAAACGGACACTCACCAATTGACACGGTATCAGGGGCCACGAACGCCAAGCTAGAAGCCATGTCACAGGACCGCGAGGCCCTGCGGATTGAGGTGGAGCGGCTGCGGAAGCAGCTTGAGAGCATACAAGAGGCCCACGCCAACGAGATTTCGCAGCTGCGTGCCGACCTGGACGAGAGCGAGGCGGCCAAGGAGCACGCCGAGACCCAATATCAGACGCTGCTGGGCCGCGTTGAAAAGATCAAGGAGACACTGGGCGACCGCCTGAAGCGGGACAAGGCCGAGCTGGAAGAGGCCAAGGACCGCGTGGAAGAACTCGAGACCCAAAATGAGGAGCTACAGCGGGCCGTACAAGCGCGTGAGGAGGAAACCGGCCGCTTGAGAGAGGAGGTACAGGAGCAGGCACGCGAGCTTGCGAGCTTGCGGAGTAGAACAAACCTATCGCAGCAGAATTGGCTGAAGGAGAAGGAGGACATGGCCAGGCAGGTGCAGCACCTTAGGAGCGAGCTCGAGTCGACCACCGCCGCCATGGGCGAGTGGGAGGTTATTGCAATGGAGGAACGTTCCCTGCGCGAGAGTCTAACCGACAAGGCGTCCGACCTCGAGGAGCAGCTCGTTAGCGCGCGGGAGGCGTACGAAAGGGTCGCGTCAGAGCGGGATACCCAGTCCCAGGCCATCGATGGCCTGCAACGGGCTCTCCAGGAGATCCAGGAGGCCCGGAAGAGGGAGCTGCGCGAGATGGTTGAGTCGACGGAGGAACAGGTGCAAGCCCTTAAGCGACAAGCTCAGGAGGCCGACGCTAGAGCGGCCGAGGCCGAAGCAGCCAAGGCAGCGCTATCAAAGGAGCTTGAGCGGACAGCTCCATTTGAAAAGGAGGTTAAGGAAAAGAACTTGCTCGTTGGCAAGCTACGACACGAGGCTATCGTACTAAACGACCACCTCACCAAGGCCTTGAAATACATCAAGAAGACCAAGCCAGAAGAGACGATTGACAAGTGAGTCTCCTCGTTCCCATCGGCAGCTGGCACCCCATGACGATAGTCGCTAACCCTTCATAGGCAACTTATCTCCAATCACTTCCTCCAATTCCTCTCTCTTGACCGGTCCGATCCCAAAAAGTTCCAGATCCTCCAGGTCATAGCCGGCCTACTCAGCTGGACCGATGAGCAGCGCGAGAAGGCTGGCCTGGCGCGGCCCGGTACGGCGGGCAGCCTCCGTCTACCGACCTCGCCCTTTCACCGGACCCCGAGCTCGCCGGCGCTCAACAGCGACTTCTTCTCCGAGCCGACGCCCATGTCAGGCAAGGAATCCCTCGCCGACCTTTGGGCGAGCTTTCTTGAACACAGCGTTGACGAAGCAGGGGCTGCTGGGGCCGGGCCGTCGAGGAAAGACAGCGCCTCGAGCGTGGCTACGTCGGCGACGAGACCGGACACTAAGGGGCATAATTAGCAGGCGGGTGCCCCTCAGTTATCCACCCATTTACCAATGTATATACGTCCGCAGTAAAAACATATCACGGCGTGTGTGTAGCGCGCGCCACCGAGGGATGCAGGTCTAGATAAACAATGCTGTCGGGAGTCACTGGCGACCGCTTCGCCATTATCTGGAATGACACAGAACCTTCACGAGAGCAGAAGTGCACTGGCTTAAAGGAATCGGGAGCGGTGCCTGCAGGACCACCTCGTATCTAAACAACTTCGTCAAGGCACAATACAAGAAGTGCCCGTTAAACCATCATATAGCTCTGACTAACCTACAACCTCCACCTTCCCACTCCCCCCACCATTCCCTTGCCCCCCAGGCGGCACGAGCAACGCCTTGGCATACGCCTCGGCGTCCCTCTCGATACTCGCAATATCAATCCGCTTCTCCAGCGCATCCTTGACCCCCTCAATAACCTCCCTCTCCTCCATCATCTCCCTCATCAACCTTACCTCGTGTCCCCAGTAGGCGTTTCCCCTGTTGCGCAGCTCTTCATCCCTTAGAACGGTGTTCTTGATCACGCCGGCGGCGTTGACTTTGCCTTTGACCCCTCCAAGGGCGCGGAGGACGGCCTCGACCCTCTCTGCGGGGGAAGGTGGCGTGACAAACGCCCGCTGCGTGCCGCTCAGGTACAGCAGCGCGGCGAGCAGCACATCGAGCGCGGCAAGCGACACGTAGCGCCAGGCGCGCGCCGTCCAAAAGAAAAAGTCAATCTCGCCCAGCCGCAGCGCCCGAGCGTTACCCGTGTGCTGGTAGCTCGCCACCAGGTACAGGTCGGCCAGCGTGAGCGCCACGGCCGCCAGCGTCGCCGGCGTGCGCCACCTCCCCGACGCTTCACTGCCGGTAAAGCTGGACGACGTCACGGCCGCGATGGCCACAAGATTAAACAGGTGGGGGCGCAGCAGGTCCGGAAGCGCGTAGTACAGGTACGAGCGGGGCTCGTCCGAGGCGCAAAAGGGGCAGGTCGCGACCACGTCCGGGCCGAAATGCAGGTACAGCAGGCGCGACTCGAGCGAGGTGAACTTGTTGCGCAGGGCCAGGTCTTCCGGGGTAAGCTGCCCGTTGGGGCGGAGGGTGGCGAGCCGCGTAAAGAGCACGTCGGCGGGAATCTGCAGGCGGGACTGCGTCGCTTTGAAGATGTTTTCGGGCGCGAGGAAGGGCAATGTGCGCAAGAGGAACACGGACGCGAGGATGGTCAGGACAAGGATCGAGCGGAATATCGGTAGCGGTAAAGGGCGCGGCTTGAGGCCGTGGAGTTTGGAAGCTGCGCGGATGGAGCGGTAGTAGGCGAGCGCCTTCGGGAAGAGGAGGGGTCCGAAGAAGATGAGGAGGGACTTGATCCTGGTTTCTGTTAGTAGGTTGTCCGGATATAGTTTACGGTGGCACATTTGCCTGTGATAACTTACGTCCCCCAGGGTATCGCCATCGTTGAGCGATAATGTGCTGCCTTGGAGGCAGGCGGCTTTGGCGTTGAACGTTTCGGATTTCAGTTGGTTGGCATCGTGGCGTCGAGGTTCGATGCAAGGGGATTACCTATAATGGACAAGGCTGACACAGACAGGGGTGCTGTGTGAGTGGGTCCTCGGCAATCATAAGTTGGCTCAGCCTCGCCCGCCAGTCGGGGGAAAAATTTATAAATTCAGTGGTCGTTGGATCGATATTTTCAACCCACACTTGATGTTGCTTCCTCCAGCAAGCAGACATCACCAATACACTACAGAGAAATACTTTGTATTGTTATCATGCTCATCGGTTATCTCAATATACAACGTCGATACGTCCAGTTTTCCGTCTCCTAGGTTGAAGCAGTGACATGCGGTTGGCACTATCGAAGCTTTGGCAGCCCTATCAATGGTTGCTCAAAGTCAATGTGTTGCCTAGAGCGAGCCCAAGCACTCTGCCAAGAGTCATCTCACGTCGTGTTGCAGAGTTCCAGCTCCGGCCATGAAGAACAATTGCGTCAAATGGATGAGAGACATTTATTGACCCCCGACCGACTCTACCTTGCAGCTTGGTCTATCACAAATCCTTCTTGCCCTCTCCATCGCCAGCTCCGCCTGCTGCCGCAGGCATGGGCTGCTTCTGCTTTTGCTTTTGCGATTGTCTGCCTGCCGCGGCGAGCCCCATTATAGCCACCACCGTATCCATCACGAGCGCTAGCATGCCCGTACAAGCCAGCTGCCATACTGTGATGCTGACGCTGCCCAGCGGCGCACGCGGGAAGGACGCGAACCACTCGACGTAGTAGGGAAACCATCCGTAAGGGAGCCAAAACATGGGCTCCCGTCCGTACCACATGGGGAGGAGCCATTGCATGCCGCGCGTCGACATCAGGCGGATTATTGTGAGGTATCGGTCGAAGCTCGCCCGTGAAGCCTCGAGCCCGGTTTCTGTAAGTAGCGCAAAAGGTGTCAGCAAACGCGCCTCCAACCTAGGACTCCAAGGTGTCCGCACTCTTCTTTTCCAGCCCCTCCAGCAGTTTGTCATGTTGCCGCCGCAGCTTTGCCCACTTTGCAAATTGGTCCTGGCTGCTCGTCGCATTGAGCTCCTGTCGGACAGAGAGGTATTCCTTTTGTTTCCTGCGCTGGTCTGCAAATTCTCTGGAGAGAGGAGTTGGAAGAGACAGATAGAAGCGCCATAGCTAGGTGAGAAATCAGATCAGCATACAGCCCATGCAATGACATGGGAAGGGGACACTGCGCACCAGATTGTTAATGGTTGTTGCGCCGACTGTGTTGATGATTTTGACGACCAGCTCGATGGCAAATACTACCACTAGGAGAGATGGCATCTTGACCACGCTAACAGACAGGAATATCTCAGCGGCAAGTCTGGCTCACGATGCTGTCAACAACACATGTGTTTGTTGGGTGGCCAGCCTGCATCCCACATTCCCAAGAAATCCCATACCTAGCGATGACGGAACTGCCAGCTCACTCCACCCGCCGACGTGGGCTTGCCAGTCGCCAGTCGCCAGTCTCAAGTAAGGGTTAGGGTTACCCTGCATATCTCCGAAGCCCCTTCTTCGGGAATCAACAACTCACCACCACCCCCGACGAATACCTAGCACTCGCCACATCAAAGCATGTCTCGTGCCTTGGATAGCGGGACGAAAGCGTCTCTAAGATCTGGAGATCCCACTGCTGCATATCAGGCCATTTCCGACGTCCTGATGTCGTCAAGGGACGGTCTCTTGGAAATTGAGATTCTCGGCCCAACCCATCTGGGCGCAGGACAATACGTCGTTCGGGATGGGAGCGCCGTAGGCATTCCAAAAATTGGTCTCGTCAAGGCTTTTTTGGTCGCCAGGAAGCATTTGAGGGACCACCTCGATGGCGCTACACCACTGACCGAGGATGCCGTGCTCGCAGCGACAGCCGTGATCTTACTCCTTGATCCAGAATACCTCACGGCCGCCAACTCCCGCAAGCGTCTTATACAGCGGCAGCTGTCGCTTGACGGCGATGCACACTCGAGGCTGCAAAGGGAAAGGCGCTTCGTCGACAGCCTTCTTACGAGCAGATTACATAGGCACACAAAGTCGCCTACTCTTTGGAGCCACCGCCGCTGGCTGCTCGGTGAATTCCAGAAGTTTGGCATGCCCGTGGATGCGCTCGGAGACATCACGACCGTCGTGTTTGTGGCGGGTGAGAGACATCCACGAAACTACTACGCCTGGTGTCATGCTCGGCTCTTGGTGAGCCTGGACAAGCGTCCAAACGACCAAGAGATATTGGCGGCCGTGAAGACGTGGTGTTTCCAACACCACACTGATATCTCCGGCTGGTCGTTCCTCCACTTTCTGCTCCGCCTCGACGACGGGCGGGATACTGAGGCTGCCTGTTCGATATTCGATGAAGTCCTGAAGCTGGTCAGCTCACTCAGCCTAGCAAACGAGTCTGTCTGGGTTTTCCTTCGGACTCTGGCAGCGTCAGGCCTAGTAGGAGATAAGCAATTCGCCCAGCTCGTCGACATTCAGCAAAGCCTTCTCGGCACGTTGAACACCCTAACAGACCAGGCAGTGCTGCAGGCCGCCGTGGATTGGTGTCAAACATACCGCTACAGGACGTGAAAGACCTGGCGGAGTTGACGAGATAACTCGCAAACCTAGAGCCCTCAACGACCCATTGCAACCCCCAATACAACAGGGACCAAGCGATGCAATAGGCAGGCTATCAGGCTCCCTCATCATGTGTACCCGGCGGTCATGCATTGACCCTCATTAATCCTGGAGGACTTTGCCTACAGTACTGAAGGCCAGCTGCTCGATGCTAGGCCTAGGAAGCAAGGACGTCAGTATCCGACCAGAGTCCATATCTCCCGGCCGACACAGCATATCCGAGATATTCGATTATGCAGAAATGCAGCCGCCATGCAGCCGCCATCGAACCTTCGAGACCGCGCACAGTCTGCCTTGCGGTTTCCTGGAACTGAGACCCTGATCCGTTCAACCAACACGAAAGTTGATTTTCCGTGACGTTGGGGCAGCGAGGAGGTCCTGCATCTGATAATATCGAAAGGCGCTGCAAACACGATTCAGCCGAGAATGGCTGTCCCGATTGGGAAACACCGAATCGTATTTCTGCTGCGTACGCCGATACCTAGCATGCGATCATACGGCGATATGCTGTGTGAGGTGACTTGTTGGGTATGCCGGCTTGCTGCGAGCTCGACTGGGTTGGAATCTTCCTGCTGGCCGGGTGACTGTCAATCGGATCGGCCGAGTAATGTTAACTAGTCGACCCAGCTGTTATACCTAAACCGCCTCAAGAACGAGACAGGCAGTTTCAAGAGCAGCCTCAATTTTCAGCCGGTCCGAATTGAGGAGAAGCTGACATGATGTGAGCATCACACGAAGAATTCAGCATCCTCAAACCGTCCACTTTGTTGTGGTGCACATGTTCTGTTGTCTTTAGGCCGATTGGTCGACCCGGGCGGTCCACGACTGGGATCTTGGCGCTGCCGACATGACCGGGTTGCATCGCCATCTGGAACCCTCCCCTCAATCTTGCATCCAGGAGCACAGAAGTGACAGGCGCTCTTGTGCACCACATGGCTGGCACGCTCCGGATGGTAGAATGCGCTAATGTATGTCGAAAGACGCAATCGAACCAATTGCTGCTCATCCCAGCGTTCGGTCAAATCGTGATGAGTGGCCGGCATTTTGAACACTGAACTTCACAACGACCGGGGAAAATTGGGGATCGAACAAATTGGGATTGGGAGCACAGACGCCGCTGCACCGGCCAGGAGCTTGTTCGTGACCATTGTCCAATCAAAGCGCCCTTGCAGATTGGACATGGACAGGGGCGCCAGCAGCAATCAGCGGGTCGCTGTTTATGGCAAAGGCTGGCCCCACGATCCAAGACTTCGGCCGGACATGAAGGAAATTCGAGCTGCGACCTTCATGGGAATTTTGAGGTCTTGATGTCACGCTCAAGAGATCAACGTTCGAGGATAGCAAGGTGTGAAAGGGAATTGGACTACAAGAAGTCAGTTAGGGTGAAAATGCTCCGTTGCACTCCTCATTTTGACCGAGGCCGGCATGGTTTGAAACGGGCAGCCTGCCACTTGATGGCACCGCATCGCTTCTCGATAGGGAAGGAATCTTCGTATTGCGAGTCAAATAGACCGTTATCTTCGCTACTTCTTGATGTCACCACCAACACGCAGCGGTAGCATGTCACTTTCCCAACAGCCCGCCCGCTTGCCCGCCACAAGGCCCACCCCCAAGAAGCTCGGGCCAGGGTGTGATTCTCCATCTTCAATTCTCCACGATATTCGGCTCTGTTCAGATCCCCTCTCTCTCCTGAAGGTCACACTCTCTTTCCCATCTTACAGGGCCTCATCTGTCATCCACCTTCTCTCCCCCATCCCGCTTCCTGTCCTCGGGTCATGTGTGTCTCTCCTCGAGTGCTTTCCCTTGTAATCCTTCTGCATTGCAACTGTACTACATATCGTTGTTGGTAACTTCCATTGTCTTGCATCCACTTCTCTCGGCTCCTTTCGCACCGCTTTTCACTCCATCTTGCTATCTCGTCCTGTCATTCCACGTCTTATTAATTCTTGTTGCTGCTTAACGTTATCTATATTCTTTATATGTTTGTACGATTGCCTCGTGAGCCGTCCGCTCCCCGTCGAAGTTCCTTGTCCGGATTATCTTGCCTCCAACATCGGCCTCCATACAACTGAATCGTGCGATCTAACAAATGTCGCCCACCTAATCATTAATCGCCTAATATCTCTCGGTGCGCGAGTCCGGAACCCGCTCTCAATCTATTGGCAGCAATTGGTGCCCGTCGTCCTCCTTGGGGTCTCGATATTCTTCGGTCTGATTCTGTGAGGGCCGCCGGCCATCCGTCCCTGGTCTCCATCCGGCAGCTCCGGGCAACAATCTCTAGGAGCCATTGGCAACCCAATCACCGTCCCACCGAGGCTGGTGTGGGGTGGTGAGGCCTCAGGTGCTGGGTTTTCAACATGCTCAGAGGAGCCGCTCTGATTCTGCAGCTGACGCTATGGATTGTTACTGTTCATGCCTTCTTCCCCTTCATCCCCGACGACCAGTGCGATCCAGGTGAGCATTGTGGCCCGTTCAGCTCGGACTCGAAAAGGAGCCATGATGGGTCCGCTCAAATTTCCGAAGGAGTGACGCTCGATCTTGTCAGCCTACCCAGGAGTGTACGTGTAACACCGACAGAGCCTGCAAGCCCGAGCCAGCCGCGCAACAAGATGCTAACTAGCCTCATATAGCCCAACGTTAACTCGAATGCAGCAACGGAAAACATTGCCCAAGCTATCGAACGCGTCAAGGGCAAGAACGAAGGATGGCCGAACATTTCCCATTCCCATCCAGGGCAGCCCGGGCTGGGCAAAAGGGTGAATAACTACCAAGTCTCGGAACCCATTGCTCCAACAGCTGCAGACAGCGCCGGCATATATCAGTACGGCCCTGACTACTCGTACTTCATCAAGGTCCTCATTGGCTCTGCCCAACAGCCATTCTACATGCTACTGGACACGGGTGCTGCGAACAGCTGGGTTATGGGCTCCGACTGCGAGTCAGATGCCTGCAAGATGCATAATGTGCTAGATCCCGCTTCCTCGAAAACCTGGCGGTCGGAGAACAAGGGCTTCTCCATCTCATATGGTACGGGCGATGTCGCCGGCATCGTGGGCCAGGACACGATGTCATTCGCCGGCTTCAGTGTTGACCTATCTTTGGGGTTGGCCAATTACACACACAACGACTTTAGGCACTTTGCCTTTGATGGCATCCTCGGCCTTGCCATGAGCGCATCTGTGTCGGGCACCTTCATGCAGACGCTCAAGCAAAAGAAGTTGTTGAAATCTCTGGTTTTTAGCATATCCCTGAACCGGGATTCGGATGGACGGAACGATGGGCAGATTACCTTCGGGGGAATTGACCGAGCCAAGTATACTGGCGAGATTTCATACACAGACGTTCCACCACCCAATAAGGACGCAGGCGAATGGGTCATCCCGCTAGGAGGCCTCAGTGTTAATGGGCAGTCTGCTGCCGCTTCAAACAGGCTTGCCTACATCGACACCGGGACGTCGTTCGTGTTTGCGCCGCCAGACGACCTGGCTGCCCTATTCAAGCTTATTCCTGGCTCGAGCTCCTCCGAGAGTAACGGGTATGTGGAGTACACGGTTCCCTGCGATACCAAACACCCCATCACCATCACTTTCTCGAATGTGGCATACGAAATCTCGCCCGCGGACTGGATTGTCAAGACGAACGACCACTGCGTTAGCCGCCTTTATGGCTACGAATTCAAAGCAGGCACGTGGCTGCTTGGGGACGCCTTCCTCAAGAACGTATATAGCGTTTTCGATGCCGAGAATATGCGCATCGGATTCGCATCGAAGCCGGCATCCCCAACTAATTCGGCGTCCAGTTCTGCTGTTGCGTCTGCGACGGCAGTTCCCACCGTTGTCACGACAGACGGTTCTGCACGACCCGTCATGCCTGGCATCAGCGGACAGGAGACGGCGAGCAATTCGGCTGTTGCTGGAACGGCGACAGCAACAACAAGCCCGGCCCAGGTGGCTCTCGGAGACCAGCTCAAAAGCAGCACCTACCTCTCTGTTTTGTGCGTCGCCGCCGCTCTTGCCGTAATGGTGTGAGACGGCGGTGGTTGCGTGTAATAATAATCTGCATCATGGCCTGTGATACTCGGCGGGTGAGTGTGCACAGGCCTAGGCAAGCGAGTTGCGAGCCTGGAAGGGGGGCAGCCGTTTGATCCGGCTTCACGGCTCAGGCACGTGGTCCGGTATCTGATTCGTGTTTGCGTTCTGTAGAGCGAGGAGGTGGTCAAGTTGGAAAGTCAATGATACCCCAGGGCGGAGTAGGAACACGGACACGTCGAGCTCTGTGATCTAGCATGGGCCTCTGTCAGGGGCTCTTAGTTTTGTATATAGGATGTGTTTAATAAGATTCGTGAAAAAGCACCGTTTCCCGCCAATAGCAAGCTTGAGGATCATGGGGATTCGAGTTATAGACAAGTGGTTAGGAGAAGCTGATTGTACGCGTTTGGTACTTAACGGAATACATGTAAAATACGCCGTCGTAGCCCTTGCGAGGTGAATATTTCAGCCGCACTGTGTAACCGAACCACTGCAATTCAGCGGATGTGGCGCTGATTGGAAGTCCCTGAGCAACTTGAAGCTGTAACGTATCACATGGCAGGGGCTGTAATTGACAGCTTTGGCGTCTGAAGGTGACGGAAGCTTACGTTGTACAGAAGGCCCAATTCGTTACGTTCCAACGACCGTTTTATCCCGCCAAGAAACTCAGCGTCTTTGTTTGTTCTCAGCCTCCTATTCTCTTGCACAAGATTAAGGTCTGAACTAGAGCGACAAGGAGTGTTGTGACCCGGCCTGCGAACCGCAAGATGCCCTGAGTTGCAGCCGAGAATGGCCAGTGCCAAACCGCATGGCGCTGCAGCAGCTGCCGAGACCACTGCCAACAACCGCCGTGCTTCCCCGTCATCGACCGGCCGCAACGACAGTGCCAACAGCGGCAACAGTAACGACAACAATGAGGACGATAGGACAGGGCTACTGGCGGCGGAACCTGGCAGCCCAGAAGGACATGTCACCATCAGCAGTAGCGCCATAGTCCCTGCCGGTGACTTCAAACCCTCTTCCCTCGACAAGCCGCGCAACCCGCGAACTCCCCGAACGCCAAACCGCGTCCGCTTCGACTTACGCCCGACATTTGTCGACGATGGCGACGACAATGCTGCCGTCACGGCAACAAAAAGCAACGGCACTGCCACCTCTCCCGACACCCCCCACCACCAGTATCACCAACACTCACCGCAACACGACGGCTACCACCCGCCGCGGGAGTCCTTCGACCTAGACGAGGCCGATCCCCTCTCCTCACCCACCTCCCACCAGCAGCAACAACGCGTACCCTTGTTAACAGGCCTAGAGGCCCCCTCAGTAACGCTGTCCAACACGCTCACATCACCAAACCAGACTCGGTCTCCATCACCCACCTTAGAGCACGCCCACGAACACGCCCATGGCCACGGTCATGGTCACCACGGAGGACGAGCCAGATCGTCTCTACTATCCGCCTTCTCCAACATGGCCAACTCCATCATAGGCGCGGGCATCATCGGGCAGCCCTACGCGTTCCGGCAGGCCGGGCTGGTGTCGGGCACGTTCTTGCTCGTGGTTTTGACGCTCGTCGTCGACTGGACGATCCGCCTCATCGTGGTCAACTCGAAGCTCTCGGGCGCCAGCTCGTTTCAGGGCACCGTCGAGAAATGCTTTGGCAGGGCCGGGCTCGTGGCCATTTCGCTTGCGCAATGGGCGTTTGCGTTTGGCGGCATGGTTGCCTTTGGCGTCATTGTCGGTGACAGTGTGCCCAGCGTTTTGAGGGCCGTTTGGCCTGGCGCGGGAGGGTGGGTTGGAAGGAATGGGGTGGTGGTTTTTTTGACTGTTGGGGTGAGTTGGCCATTGAGTTTGTATAGGGATATTGCCAAGGTGAGTCTTTGACATTTTAGTTTTGTTGCTGGATTTGACCCTGTCGTGGTGTGGAAAAGGGGTTGCTAATTGGTATGGGTTTTCCTGGGGGAGGTAGTTGGCTAAAGCGAGCACGTTGGCGCTGGTGAGCATGATGGTGATTGTGGTGACAGTGCTGGTGCAGGGCATCTTAGTGCCCATGGAGGAGAGGGGCGCGTTAAAAGATTGGCGGTTGCTGGTGGTGAATGATGGTATTTTTCAGGCGATTGGGGTCATTTCGTTCGGTAAGTTATTGTTCCACTTGAACAGAGTCCTGGCAGAGGAGACTGACGCCTATCTCAGCCTTCGTATGCCACCACAACTCCCTCCTCATCTACGGCTCGCTTGAAAAGCCCACCATCGACCGCTTCGCCAGGGTCACGCACTACTCGACTGCCGTGTCCATGCTCGCCTGCCTGATCATGGCCCTGTCGGGCTTCCTCACGTTTGGCGACAAGACGCAGGGCAACGTGCTCAACAACTTCCCGTCCGACAACACCATGGTCAACATTGCGCGCTTGTGCTTTGGGCTCAACATGCTCACTACTCTGCCCCTCGAGGCCTTTGTCTGCCGCGAGGTTATGCTCAACTACTTCTGGCCTGGCGAACCCTTCAACATGAAACTGCACCTGCTGCTTACGACGAGCCTAGTGTTCAGCGCCATGGTGCTGAGTTTGCTCACGTGCGATCTGGGAACCGTGTTTGACCTGGTCGGCGGTACGAGCGCTGCAGCCATGGCGTACATTCTCCCGCCGCTGTGCTACATCAAGCTCACCACGCGGTCGTGGCGGACGTATCTTGCTTGGGGAGTGGCGGCGTTTGGCTGCATGGTTATGGCGATGAGCTTTGTGCAAGCTGTTTGGCATATGATTAAAGGTGAGATTCCCCTGGCAGTACCCCCGGTCTCTTGCCCCTTCTTCCCTGTTCTCGTCTTCGCTTCCTCAGTGACCTGGCTGATTGTGGGTTTATCATGTAGGCGAGGAAAGCGCAAAGCAGTGCTACTGAATACTAGCTTGATATAGACTACGCATCCGGATGTTTACATATGGGAGTTGAATAGACCATTCAAGGAAGGGTTGGGTGGCGGGCGTTGGGAGACGGTAGCATTAGGTTTATAAGAACAGTTGTGCCATGTCTCCTTGGCCGTCAGCCAGCCAGTCACATGCTTTGGCATCGTCTGGCTTCCCGTTTTTCCATACTTCGCGCCCCGTTTTGGCACTGACATGTCACTTACCCTGGGCGGGTAGACAGCCAAACAAGTGCGTTACCCGATGCATGCTGTGGAGTAACCCCAACCCAGGCAGGCAGCTCGAGAACCACGGGACGGGACAGCGTGGGGTAGCTAACGTGCAGCTAATGTACTCAGTGTCGGGGCCTCGGGGCATGACACTGCTCATCCACCTCTGAACATGCCCACGAGCAGATAAGGGCGTGCTAAGGTGCTCTTAGTTTATCCAGCTGCATCAGGCGGGTAGCAGGGCGGGGGCATTTCAACGGAGGGTAGTTTCAGGACCAGCTTCGATTCGCTCATGAGGCCCTGTGACTTGTCCTGGTGGGTGAGGTGGTTGTGCGGGCTGCAGGCAGCATCGGGCTCTTGGTGTTGTCTTTACTGCATACGTAGTATGCATTGTACGGTAATGTAGTTTGAACGGCAACAGGGTGACTGGCTGCTGCATGAAGTGCCCGTTAGATGATGGATGGGGGTGATCAGATGGCTTGCCAGCGGAGAAGGGGATCTCCAAGGTATATAGGACCCCGCTTCCCTCCTCCTCCTGATGAGTCCTAACTCTACCTTAACTTGACCCCTCCCTTTCTCTATACTAGTACTGTCCATACTTTCTCACACAGAATTCGCCTAAGATTATCTACGCATATTCTCACCTTCTTCAGTTCCAGCACAACAACACCAGCCAAGATGCATGGAGCTAGCTGCCCCAAGTGCGGTGCCGCTTCTGACGGCGTGAGCAAGTCCTGCGACTCCTGCGGCGCTGTATGTGGTCTCTTGTTCCGATCCGCTAGTTTGTCTCTTTCTTTTCTGAGCTCCCAGCCTCCGATTCGGAGCTGCCACTTCGGATTTAGACCTACCCAATCTTCCTCTTCTGCTTGTTTGAGAGAAACATGGTAGCTAACTGTGATCGCAGGCCTGCCCAAACTAGAAAGCCGGTCCGGGCCTCGTGCTACCTGTTCCTCTTTTTCGCCGTCGGGCTAGACTGTCTTCTCCACGGCTGGATCAGGCACGAGATCGTGCTACTAGACATTTCCCAAGAACAATCCAGGGGGCTTCGTTTGGAGGATTTGCTTCAAATTAGCTACGTCTATGTAGCAAGTTAACCGCGCGGAAACATCATTCCAATGCATGCTATCACGATGCTATGATCTGGTGTCGCTGGTTCCATCGATCTGTTCTCACTAGCGGCTCACGGCCAGGCATACTTTGTAGCACCAGTCGCTTTCTGACAACGAATGACGAGCTGATTTACCACGTCGATATGATGGCGATCATTGCAAGATGCGTGAATGCTATGTAGTTACTACAAGCTGGACTGGTAGGCGAATAACAATATCGTAGATGGTCTACGTTGACCGGATCTTGCTTGGGAAAGGCAAGCCAGGCCACATCCAGTCAACTCGGGGCTTATGGAGGCAAGAGCTGACATCTCTATACTTGGAACTCGGCGGGCAAAGGAGTGCTGAACCGACTTACTCCTCCTGAGACGCTTCGACCTCTGGGGACTGAGACATTCCGCTTCGATCACTGAACCATTGAACGACGATTAATGCATCCGTAGAGATACGGCCAACAGACAACTACCACTATTCATACAAGATGAAGCACGCCCATGTTCAGAGGCAAGCACGGCGATGAAGAGGACAAGCCATTTGTAGATTCGCTTTAGCCCACCCTGACGAAGCCCAAACCGCAAGGGAACTAAAACTCGACACAAATCTGACGCAAGACATGGCCCGGTCCAGAAGCGATGAATAAATAAATAGCTAGCGAGTAAAATGGGAAACAGGGTACGTCGAGACTAATCCGAGAGTGAAAAGAACAAGAGAGAGAGGAAGAGGAAGGGGAGAGAATTGTTGTGTTGGATTACGGGTCGTCGCCGAGTAGTGTATCAGGCCATCTCCAACCGAGAGACTAAGGTGTGTGGGCAACGTTCAAACTGCCCCAGCTTGCGCATCTTCCTTCCTCAGCTCTTGCTTGCAAAATTGAGTTCCCTTGCACTAGTCCCGCGCCAGTGTCCGCTTGCAAGCCCTCCTGAAGCACGTGTTTCTTTCCTTCCCCCAACCCAACGCTGTGACGACAGCCGGAGAAGGGCCCAGGAGGTTCTATATCTCTTCCCAGAGACAAGGGCGCATTATGCTAGAGTGCCGGCTGCGAGGGGTCGTTCCGGTCCGTCTGGAGAGACAAAGTTGACGGATGATCGAAGCCGTTCAGTCGTGAGGAACACTGTTTAGGCAATCGTGCATTTGCTCTTCTTTTTCCCGGTCTTCTTCAGCAGGGCAGCCCGTGTCGCAAACTCAAACACCTCGCGGACGCCCTCGTTGGTCTTGGCCGAGCACTCAAGATACTTGGTGGCCTTGATATTGTTCGCAACCGTTTGTCCCTGTAGCACGGCTTATCAGCATCTCATTTCGGACACGGACACCTTAAACAGCGAGTCTCCTTACTTGTTCGGGGGTGACAGGCTGCTGGCTGGTCTTGCGGAGCTCCTCAATAGTCTTGGGGTCGTAGCGCAAGTCCTTCTTGCAGCCAACCAGGATCTTGGGAACATCGGGGCAGAAATGGTGTACTTCTGAGCACCACTGTTTTATATCATGGCATTGTCAGTAACCTTTAACCTCAGAGAAAAGTCGGTGTGGAGCTTGAGACGGACCTTCTCGCCAACGTTATCCAGGGAATCGGGCGAGTCGATGGCGAAGCAGATCAGGATGACATGTGAGTCAGGGTACGACAGGGGCCGCAGGCGATCGTAATCCTCCTGGCCAGCCGTATCCCATAGCGCCAGCTCGACGTGCTTTCCATCGACCTCGACATCGGCGACGTAGTTTTCAAAGACAGTGGGGACATAGACCTGTACGCGGCGTTAGTTCACTGGGTGCGTTATCGTTGTGTTACCAAAGGCTGGGGGAAGCCGAAAGCCGAAACAGCTCGACACGAGCCGCCAAGGCGAGATGCTGTCGATAATTGCGGTGCAAGAGCTGTCGGAGTTGTCAAACTCACCTCCGGGAAAGTACCCTTAGAGAACACACTGGTATCAAGTCAAGTCAGCAGGTCGATACGTAGACAACTGGCGAAGAGCGCAGCGGGAAAAAAAGGGGCAGCAAGCCGATGGACATCGAGCTCGGAGCGGGAGACTCACATCAACAGGCAAGTCTTGCCGCAGGCACCGTCACCGACGATGACCAACTTTCTGCGGAGTTCGGCAGCCATTGTAGTTAATGATCAGGCCTGGATTCCGGGGCACAAGTTGTTGAAGAGTTGGCGGATTTGAGGCTTGCAACGACAGAGCTGCAGGCGAAGTGGAGGATTCTGAAGGAAACCGACAGAAATACGGCCGTCAATCGTCGCGAAGAAAGAGGGTTGGCGGCAAGCGATGCCTCCGGATATGCCTGGTTGCCGGGTCGTTGATGGGAACAAGGCAAATGGAACAGAAACGTTGAGAGGCGGAGGAGGATGCTCGGAAGAAAAGAAGCACAAGCCGAGTCGCTTCAATTGATGACAGAGAGAGTGCAACAGTGCGTTGGGGGAAGCAGGGAAGAAAGGGTCGAGTGGGTGCGCTGGGAACGGGGCGCTGTGAGTGGACAGTAGATTTGAGGGGCGGGAGGCCTGTTCGAGGCAGCGTCAGCGGCCGATGTCCGTCTGGGCTGTGACTGTTTCCCTTCACTGGAACAAAACACAGCACAACCTAGCACAACAAAGTCCTTGGCTTCATCTCGACTTTGCGCTATGGTTTCCATATCTGCATCTTTTCGATTTGGCCAGAAAGAGCTAACTTATCGTTACCTTCTTAGTATATTCGTAGCTACTTGGAAGAATTCGTAATCAATGCCTGCGATGGTCTGCCTACGGATATAGCACCTAGCTAATTATGACAGGGTCTTCTCTGTCACTTGCTGCTCGTCGATCAGAGACGCCAAAAGACGTTGGCCCAGGCTTCCGGTTGCTGGCAAACTCCGCAAACAGCGGCCCCTGAAAAGCGGCTGTCGAGCTTCAGGCCAACATGGGGTGGGTCTTTTCACTACACTACGCATTAGGACCTAGACTTTGGTCTGTCATCCGTTATTCTTCTGGACGACTTGGGAGCAGGCCGGCACGGCCAAAACTTTTATGGCACGTGAGAGTCACCAGGGCAGCGGACAGTTGATGCCAGCGCTGCCAGCATTAACTTACCTCCTCCGCATCCTGCATTACTACTACCGGCGCCGTCTCGTCCTGCAGGCAGATGAGACGCAATGTCTAATTCTGGCGGACCGCTATCAATCACCAAGGCGGTCACGCACTGCTGCTGCTAACCAATTCCGGGCCAGGGGTCCCAGAACCTTGATACACGTATTGCACAGTGCACACATATAGTAACGTCACCTATTATGGAGATTAGGTAGAGTTACTTAGGACCTGACATTTGCATTGCGGGCAGACTCCCATGGCGTAGGACGTATGGGAAACGGAAGTTTGGTTTTTTAAAATACACTAGAAGGCCTAGCCTCATTCGCCTCAATCTTCTTGAAGCGGTTGTGCTCATAGAAGGCTGATGCATTGGCAACATAGTAAGGTACCGGAGCCATGCTGCACAGTGGATTCCCAGAGCTCATGCGGCGCGTCCCCCGCGTTCCCTGCACCTGCAAAAGTCCTACAAGGCCATAGGACTTTTTGGAACACGCATCGCGCTATGAGCCTCAACTACGCATCAAGCATAGGAAACGCGGCGATCAGCGACACAGTGGAAAACACTGCCAGCTTCAAGAAAACGAGTCCTAATGGAAGACCTGGTCCGTGTTGGCTCTAATACGTAGAGATTTCTCGATATGTATTCGTATTTCCGTAGTACTAGTAGCGACTTACAGATCGCTGCTGACGGCCAGATGCCAGATCAAGGTCGTAGGGTCGGGTTTTCTCTCTCGTCGCTACCATTTCTCCTTTTGATGACTGCACCTGTTTAGCACTTTAACTATCCGTACAATGAAGACAAACAACAAGGTACCTACTTACTTGTCTGGCGGTCGCGTTGCTGCCCGTGTCAGCCGACACATACTCCGTATACATAACATCAATCCACATGCGACTTCACGCTGCCATTGAGGTGGGACGCCAAGTCTCGTAGTGGGTCTAGGGAATTGAAAGCGCCCCGCTGCCAGCTGGGCTTTTGTGCTGAGCCAGCCGGCGAAAATTCCAGCGTGGATTTCCAATGGTGCGGTCCATTGGAGACTTTTGGGTGCTGCATCTTTTCAAGATCCGATGGAAGAATAAAAGTGTTTCGTCGACCAGAACGGCACCGACTACCCGCTCTCAACCAAACCGGCGTATCTAACTGACCCGAGTGATCTTGTCCTCCCCAGCCGGCGGGATGGACAAGATCCTTCGCCGGGTGCGCATGGCCGAGCGCCAGGTTGCGCGCCGGGTCAAACGAAACCAAGAAAAGACTCAAGCCGCGGCAAGGAAAAAGCGCCTCGAGGAAATTGCCCGGTTGAGGAGGAGTGCAAGCTTAGATCTTAACTCGGCTATCAAAGCTCGCCACGAAGACCTAGAACTAGGTCCCATAGCCCCGCGACGCGATGTCAGCCAGTTAACCCCGTCCGGAGCCTATTGGGGCAGCATCGCGGCAGAGAGATTAAACACGCCGAAGCTCACCGATGAACAAAAGAGCGCCCGTGCCGCTTGGGCTGGGGGGGTACAGTACCTCTGCCTGGCTCCAGGGGATCGCGTCGTAGTTCTCGAGGGCCCTGACAAGGGCAAGATTGCCACCATCGACAAGATCGATCGGGATACTATGTCTGTGGAGTTGGGCGGCGCGGACATCGGCTTTGTAAGTCTTGCTGCAGCCAGGGACCGAAATCAGTTGCATGCTCACACCATCAAAACAGGTAAACGCCATGCTCCCAGATTTCCTGGCCAAACAAGGAGGGAAGCCTGTGGTGCAGGTCAAGGCGTCCATACCCATCTCAGCCATTCGGCTAGTGCACCCGATCACAGATCCACAGACAGGCGTGACGCGCGATACCATCATCCGCGAGCTCCAGCCCGTCGGTATGGTGCACGACCGACCGACAAGGAAAGTGTTTTGGTCCCGCCTTGTCCCGGGCCTCAACGTGCGCATACCCTGGCCCAAGGTTCCGCCCAAAAAGCATGAGGACTACCCTGCCGATACCCTGCGACTCGAAGTCGAAGAGCGCACCTTTGTGCCGACGCTGCTGCGCCCTCCCATGCCCGAGACGGTCATCGACGAGTTGCGCAATAGGTACAGCAAGTTCCGGACGCGGCACACACCCGAGTACATTGCCAAGATCGAGGCTCAGGAAGCCGAGAAGAAGGTCCGAAAGCAGAGCGTAGAGTCTATGCTACTGCCAGTGCAGGAGTACAACCGCAAACTGCGCGAGCTGCGTCGCCAACGCGGCAAGCCCGAGCTGACAACGGAGATGCTCGAGAAGATTGGCGAGATTATTGTGAAGAACAAGCTCAGGAGGTCCGGAGACCAGTTGACCGAGGCAGGAGCTGCTACAACAGATGCTCAGATGGGTAGAATCCAGAGCGCGGTGGCACAGTTGTCGATCGGAGCAGAGACGCCGGGCGCATCCTCGGGCGAGGAACAGCCCAGGGCGTCATAGACAGGCTTTGTCCTTTGCTCTTCAAAGCCTGGTCCTGTGTAGTCCAGGAATGCGGAACGGGCGGATTGTAACATATTTGCCAGAGCAGCAATTCTGCTCTCCTTGGCTGTAATGGTAGAGTGGATATGTACAATACAAACGCAGAACGGCGGTGTACTGCCGGTTACATCGGCTCGAGCGCCAGCTTTTGGGGGAGGTATATGGGTTGGTTTAGCTCGCCATGTTCAAGATCCTCCTCACATGAACGTCCAGCTTGAAATTGATGGGCCGTTCGAGAAGAGCTGCCACAGACTAGGAAAACGGCGAGAGGTTTGGTACAAACCTTGGAAGGTACCGAGAGTTGGTTCAAAGCATCCTCAACAAAGATCTGAGACGCAAGTTCCGCCTTCATCCACTGTCCTCTCAGGCAGCTTTCCAGTTACTTCGTACGTCGACTTCCAGCACCCGGACCAATGAAGGTTGGGACACGGCATGCCTTTGGAAAGGGTACGACGGCAACGTCTGAGGACATACCGAGTGTCGGAACAATACATATTATTGGTCACCGCAAAGACGCTGAGAGCCTATACATGATGATCTCTCACGGGTCTCATGGCTTGCTAAAGCGTTGCCACCCTGAGCTACCCTCACAAAAACCTTGTCTCTCCGAGGCTTCCAAGTACTGTTACACGGGTCTTGCAGCCAATACCGCCAAGAATCCCGTCTCACATGTCAATAGCAGGGCGTCAGTTGTTTTGAGCAGCGAACTAAAAAAGAAACAGCTGATGACTGCCTGGACACAACGGTGGGATGGTTAATACACTCAGATGTAGTAGTCACTGTTCTCACTTCGGGTACGCGGGAGGGGAGAGTAACTTAGGCCTCTACTCTAGGGGTGCGCTCCTCCCTGCTTTGATGGGTTTAGTGAAAGTTCCAGTTTGTTTTCCACAAGTCAGATCTTGAGCGACTTAACCACACCAGCGGTGGTCGCACTTGCCCCTTGGACTCAAGGCGGTCAGAGCTACACCGAGAAGGACCTGGGCGGTAAAGAGGGGGCGGGATGGGTGACTGAAATTCTCTCAAAATATCGTCTCCGGGTTCTGGGTTCTGCGCAGTTTCTTTTTACGCTTCCCTCTCGCAACAAACTCAGGGGGAAGAACATTCAATCTTGTCTAAAGCATTGTTGCCAGCAACTGTAACGACAGTCGATATCGAAGTTAAACTAAGTTTCTTCCAGTTTTACTCCCACGAGCGTTCAACGTGCCATTTCGCAGAAACCAATATGTCACTACCTTCGTTTCTTGTCACGATTCCTCTGCCGCCTTCGACGTCTCCTCGATCAAACTCCATCAAGCCTGAGGCATATCACAATCTGTTCAGGCACTCTCAAACAACCAACGCTATTGCGCAGTGACATCCATAGCCCGGCAACCGAGCCGGTACTAACGGTCCAACCGAGGACAAAATCTCAAGAAGAATATGGGGGTGGCTCCGCCGTGTACTCAGCCCAGCTGCCACAGGCCGCGCGCTGCCAGCCCGCTTTCCCATCTCGTCGTCATCATCATCGTCATCATCATCAGATCACAACCGTAACTGACAAAGCAGAAAGCCTTCGTGTTTCAATAGCAGTCTCCAACCCGAACCGAAACAACCGAAGATTCCGGGTAAACGAAGCCTCAAGAAATGATAGGCCAGCCAGGCCATGTAAGGCAGACTGCATGCAAGTCAGCCTTACTCTCTGCCGGGATTTCCCCTTATGGGCAAAAGCCCAGACCGAGCCGCCCGACATATCGACCGATTGGCGCCATAAAGACGACTCAACGACCAAGTCCACGGACAGCTTTCTCGCTAGGTAAGACAGCTGTACAAGATAGGGTCTCGGAACAGAAGAGATTGACACGCGCTGGGAGAGAAGAAAGCAGATATAAGAAAGCCAGACCAGACGCAGCAACATTTGGAGAAATATGAGATCGGTGTGAGGTTCAACCTTGCCTCCGGCGAATAAAAGTTGAAACCCGAAGACAACGGACAGTTTTTGTCTCGGTCCCGGGCGTGCAGGGGTAGGTGGCCGGAGTCCGGCATCCGGGGCTCGCGTCGGGTCTGGGCGCCCCACTCTCTCGGATGTGTCAACGGGGGCGCAAGCAAAAGCGGAACGATCCGAACATGGTGAAATGGAAAAATTGCCACTCGCATCAAAAGAAATGCAATAGACGCGTCGAGAAAGCCGCTGCGGTCGACCACCTTTGTTCTCTCCAAGGAAAAAACGCGTCGGTTGGTGGCCCGATTTTTCGACCTTGATGAGCCCGTCCACACACCACTTTTCTCCTCCCAACCTCCTTGTTGTTTTATTTCCATCGTTCCCTCCCCTCCTTTTGAAACGGAATTCATAAACACACCGACATTTTCCTACGCGATGACGGTATAACGCATTCGCGCCGAAACACACCAGGTCAGTGTGTGTGGGTGTGTGTGCTCTGTACCGGTGAGAGCTACATCCTGGCTTGACAGCGAGCTCTCCCCTTGAGACATCCTCGTCGTCCCCTCCCTCATCATTCCTCGTCCTCATCTCCGTCTGTTCGCCTTCCTGGCGTGATTTCCATGCTGTCCGTTTCTTTCCCTGTCCCGGTCTCTGTTCTTGCGCCTTTCCTTATCCAGATCATGGTACTGCCAGTGCCCCGTCTCGCGCGGCGGCGGGGCAGTTCGCGGGCCGAGTGGTCCCGCAAAGTCCGGTTGAAGGCGGTACGCGTCGGGCGTCTCGTCAAACACCATGGCAATGTTGTACATGGCGTCGTCAAGCTGGCCGTGGCGATGCAGGTGCTCAACAACGTAAAAGTCGGGCCGCATGTTATCGCTCGTCAGGCGGTGGTCGCTTAGAATGTGCTCGCGGATGTGCTGCATGCGCTGCTCAAAGTTGGCGAAGCCATCGCGCGGGTGGGCGGCGACAAAGGGCACATGGTCGCAGAACCAGCACCACAGCTGCTGCGGGAACGTATCGCCCATGTGATTGACATGGTGATTGATCCAGCCCCGCTCGTCGTCGAGCCGGAACGTGTCGGGACAATTCATCAGCCCCGAGAACTCGCACCATAGCTGGTCCTGACCCTGTCCCTGCCCGTTGCTGCCGACCGAGGACCAGGCCGTGGCGGGGCCGCCGCCGGCCGCGAATTGCTGCTCGAACGTCTGCCGCGCGAAGCCCACCGACGGGGCCGAGCTCTGCCCCACCGAGCTTTGCCTGTCGTTCCCACGCCGACTGCGGGTGCTGAAGAGGGAGGATGACACGTTGGATCGCATGGTGTACGGTCGCGATGTAACGGTCGACGCCGTTGTGTATTCCGACTGGCCGTCGGCACCGCCGTCCAGATCCGAGTAGTACGACTTATCGTCCAACAGAGCGTCTCCGATCACTGGTTTTGCCCAACGTGGTGTATCATAGCCAAAATACCGGCTTTCGGCGTCATCGGATCCTCCGTTGCGGTAGTCACGGAGGAATACCCGAATGGCGTCAGGATCGAAATTCGACCCCATTTCTGGTCGGCGTGGGAATGCTGCGACGAGAGCGGGCGAGACTGGTCAAGGATCTCAAGAATGCGGCTAAGCGCCGGATTGGGAGGTAGGGTGGGTGGCCGAGCCGCTGCAGATGGGGGGGTAAGCGGTGGTTACCCTGATTTTTTTTCCTCGACTTTGATGACCGGCCCGATTTGTTGATGAATCGGCATCAGACCTGCGGCCCGGAACCGAGATGGGTAGAGTCCTTATCTTGGACACGGGGCGCCGCGGGAGGCCCGAGCGAGTGCTTGGAGCTGCTCAAATGTGCAGTGCACCGAGACAGCGTTGTTTTTGGGGATTCCTTGGCCCCTCTTTGGGCAGCCGGTATCAGTCACTTCGAGGACCGGAACGCCGCCGCAGTAGCACGGCCGGCACAGGTCGGCTTGTGTCGGGCAGAGTGCTTTGCGGCAGTGCGGAAGCGATTCAGTAATCGCCGAGAGCTCCTCCGTTTTGCTGAGCTGTTCCCGGTTCACTCAGCTGGTATGAAGGATAACAAGAGAGGGCCGTGTTTAGAGAGAGCACCCGAGGCTTGAACTGGTGGGCCAGGGGAAATCTATATGGAATTCCATGATGCAGCGGGGTTGACCCAAGCCATCAACTTTCCCAAGCCGCAACCGTTCCATCATCCCGCTCGCAACAACCGCTGGGGGCCATATCGCAGGTTTTGACTTTACTTCATCTCGTACCGTTCCGGGCCGTACACACTGAGCTTACCTGTGTCTCAGAACCAATCAACCCCGACGATCTCTGCCACCGCTGCACATGCATGACATTTCTTTTGGGCTTAGCACGCAGTCACGTCGCCGTCGACCCACTTGAATCAGATATCCTCGCTAGACGCGCTTTGGTTCTGTGTCTTTGTCTCTAGGCTCCTAACGTTTGTACCCAATTGCAATCGCCGGCTTTTCCTCCGGTGCCAGATGCACCCACTAAAAAGCACCCTGCAGCATTGGCGGAAATCGGATTTCTAGGGAAAGAAGCCCATTGTTTATGCATTGCAGGGCTACCGCCTGCTTCGGAGTTGGAGCCGAATTCGGGATCACCCAACCAACGCAACCATTCACAGGATGACTTCTCACCGGCCTGGATTCCTCAGGCTTTAGAGGTCGGATGGAAGTATAGCAATGCCTCAGAAGATTGGAAATCAGGTATAGTGTTGCTCAATTCGGTCGCAAAGTGCCCGCACGGCCAGATATCAGTGGGCCCAACGAGCCATAGGTCAGGTAGTTACCGTGCCCGGGCCGGACCTATCACCCGCTGACAACGCACCAAGTTCGGGTCACACCAGCGCGCGAGCACACGGGTTCACTAAACCCTAGACGCTCTAGCCGACCATTTTGCCGAATTCGCTTGACCGAGGCGGCTCAACTTTTGCCTGCCGCGAATTACCAGCCAAACCTGTGCTTGCGGCCGCTTCGCAGTCGGAAGCCTCCGAACGGCCGGCACAGATGGGCGGTGAACCTGTTGTTGCGTACAAGGAGTCGCCTCGGTTCACTGGTATCGCTGAACTCCGAAGGAGTTACGCTATGCGAGGTGGGCGTCGCCGTATGAGCTTGTCTCGCTGATCTGGGTCGTGTCGAGACGGTACGGTCACTCTGCGCAGGTCATCGTTGCCGGGCTTGGACGCGGGCACAGTATGAACGGGGAATTCGATGTTACTGTTGGTTGAGTCCGGGAGACAGATCTCCGCGGCGGTTAAGAAGCATCTCAATGGTCTTTCCACAGTAGTTTTCCTCTGCCCAGTTCACTCAATCGAGCCTAACCTGGCTCTTGGTGGCCACCTCATCGCTTAGTTTGTTTATCAGATTTCTGGGGGGAGGTTATCTAGTCTACCAGCCCAGGTAGCCTGTGTGGCACATCCTATGTAATTGATTGAGTGTCATATAGCTTTTGGCCTCGAGAAGGTAATTCAGGTATTGAGCAGGCAAGCCATTGCCGGCTTTCCATTTCGCGGATGATTACTTCCACTAGCACCACACGTCTTCTCCTTCCGGCTCCTGCACTTGAGCAAACACCGGTCACGGTATCAGGAAGAATCATTGGGCTCCGTCGCCTGTGTTGGGTCTCATCGGTCCCGACGCCGCCGGCGCTCACGCTCCCCGGTTCGTGTCGGCCTGGGAAACCGATCAAGGTCTTATCGGGTTCCGCTGAGCTTTAGGGATCCGATACCGCAAACCTAGATACCGAATCACAAGAACGAGTTGATGACCGACACGATAAATCGGCTTTAGAGGAAGCCCGAGGGTAAGCGCTCAGCGATGGATCAAGCCCCTGGTGTAGACATACTCCTAGATACGAGTATCTGGCAGCGAGGTTGGACAGAAAGGGTAAAGCAAGCCAGCCACGAGGGGTATACCACTGAACAGCCCATGCTGGAATGACGGACGGCGAGTGTGGGTATCGTGGCTTGCAGGCAATCAGTGGATGAGGTTAACAACTCTCGATATCTGGAGCCACCTTCTTTGGTAGACGGGTACCGGGTCCGAGCACTTCGTGGGGGTCATGGTGGCTGCTCTGAGACAAGCCGCGCCCAGGCGTTGTCATGATTCGCCGTGTCCTTCATAAGAGCCTTGCTGGGCTGGACGCTTGGAAGCAGGATCGATGCAATCGGCAAGCCTGGAAGCGGCCTGTCCAATGCGGGTCGAAACCTGTACACTGGAGACGAGGAACGGTCTGAAGCCTCTGCTCTGCTTTGCCCAATTGGCTGCTGCCATTGATTTACGTCTCGTAATAGCTCATGACATGCCGTATATCGGAGAGCTCGATGCTGTTTGCCGACATAGCAGAATTGGGCTGCAGATAGCATGCTGCTAGGGAGTCTTCCAAGCCGAAGCGTATCCCAACCGCTGGATCAGGCGTATCAGTCAATTCCGTACTCCGTATCGCAGCACTTCCGCCCTCGAGACGAATCGAGCCGTGGACAGCCGGCTGCAGTGGCCGCACTGGTCCAAAACACCGGCCTGCGGCTTCAGACAGCGTGGCAGCACCGGACAGGCACCTCACACCCTGAAAGATGTCATACACGCCGAACATTCAGCGGAAAGAAGGGATATCCAAGTCTGCAAGACGCCACGAGACAGTGTCCACCGCCGAGGGCGCCCTCTCCGGTCCGCACAACACCCTCGCCTTGGAGATCACATTCCGGTACTGCAACTGGGCTCCGCTCTCATCGCCTCTTTTGACGATCCCTGGAAACGTGACGCAGCATATGTCCCTGTCTGCCAGGCTCTCCTCGTCTTCGCCGCCGATGTCTTCCATCGTCTCAGCGTTAAACATGATACGCTGGTGTGGAAGGATCTGGGGCATCTCGACCCTGAAGACCGCCCTCTGAACGGCAAGCAGCCGCGATAGTTCAATGGCGTTGCGGACGAGCGCCTGCAGGCCCTGGTCTCGGGCTTTGGTCGATGTGGTGTTCGTAATTCGATCCAGAATCGCGTTCACGTTGGAGACTACCTCGTCTGCGACAGCACATGCTCCCGCCTCCGTCTCGCCGGCATCTTTCTTGATTATGGTCAGGGTAAGAGACCGCCACTGGTTGACAAACTCGGGAGATGCTGCCAATGTCCATGAGCCATTTTGGACCGCCAAGTTGCGCATGATGATCTTACCAAACGAGGCCAGAAACGTCTCCACCTGAGTAAGTTGTCGAGCCATATCAGAGGGGAGACCAACAAAGTAGGTGTCAAACACCAGCTCCACAAGCACCCTTGACACAATCGATTGAAGCAAATGGATTTTCGCCGTCGCAGCTAGATCTTCGTACATGGGCACTAGACGGCCTAATTCCGATATTGTCGCTTCATCGGCGCTCGACAGGTCTGCTCCAGTCCGTTAACCGCGTCGACCTTTACCAAGCAAAGAAGCAGGACTCACCAATCTTTGCCCTCCTAAAGTTTACCAGGACCCAATTCTGCAGCCCATTCCCCAACCGCGCCATGCCCTCCCCAAACACCTCGTCACTCATCTGCACCTGGCCATCCGAACGGGTACTGTTACTGACCCACGCCTTGAGCCCGCTGACCTGGGCTCTCAGACTCTCAATCTCGCGCTCTCGCTCGGCTAGCGCTTTCGTAGCGCCTGCCCACGCCATGAGCAGCTCCTGGTTCTCCCTCGCCAACTTCCAGTTTGCATCAGCGTCATCAGCATACTCCTCCACCTCCTCCTCTTCTCCATCATCATCATCATCATCATCATCATCAGCACGATCATCTCTCAAAAACCCACCATCTACGTTCCCCGTCACAGCGCGCCGCGCAAGCTGGAGCTGGGCCTGAAGCTGCTGGTGCCGCCGCTCCAACGTGACGTACTTGGCCTGCCAGAAGCCGGCGGCCGTCTCGTTCTCACCGGTGGCGGTGGCGGTGGTGCCGGTGCTGAGCTTGGCCAGTTCCCGCTCGAGCGAGGCAATCCGTGCGTCTTTTTCCCGGAGGAGGACGGCTGCTGCTGCCGCTGGTGGCACGTTGTTGTCGCCTGGGTCGTTGTTACGAGCGGTGCTGTTGTCCGGCGGTGCTGGGGAGGACGCGCGGCTCAGGGCGGCTCGGGGCGGCGGGGCAATCAAGGTGCTGCTGGTGCTGGTGCTGGTGCTGCCCGTGGCCGTACTGCTGCGAGTGCTGGGGACTCTTGCGGTCCCGCGTCCGGGAGGCGGCGGACGGCGCTTCTCTGGAGGACTCATGGTCTTGCGAGGAGACATGCGGATGACGTTCTGTGGGACCGGGAACTGTTTGCCTCGGCGGTCGTATTCTATTCTATTCTCGAGCTGTGAGATTGCCGGCTTTCAGCTCGACATGTGTTGCACGCCAAAAAAGATGATCACGGCCGGCAACCTCTAGCATCTTGACGCGAGCCAGAATATGCGAGTTATATGATTGTCGATTATTCAGCCCGCATGGTGTTGCTGACGAGCTTTGGTAAAGGGAGGTAAGCTGCAGTGCGGCTGCCTAGCAGCCAGCGAAGCCTGATGAAATGGCGAGACAGTTTCGAGCCAGTTGCGTGACGTCCCAAGCTGCTGGGAGGCTGACAGCCCCGCCTGAGGCGCAGCCCAATTCGGCATTGCTGAAGCTAGGGTGTCGTGGGCGTGTGATTACGTACTGTAGGTACAGTATGTAACTGATGTGACATACGTTACTGTAGCTCCGTTATTACATTGAAACAAGGGCAAGTGGCCGATTTCTTTGTTGGTGTGCGACCTGGGCTCAACGTGCCTTGCATGGTTATTTTCGATGTTTACAGGTACTCGTCAGGAGCTTCAAAATCGCATTTCGTAGAGGGTCAGGACGGTTGATTCGGGAAAACACAGTTGATTCAGGAAAATACGTCGCTACATACCCTACCATACAAATTTCCTATCAACGCAATGTCACACCGTCTTTTAGATCAGACCGCTTACTTACATAAAACATCTACAAAAACCACAACAGAGGTGCAGATACAATATTAAGCTTGCATCCAATAACCTATATATATAACTACTTAACTATATTTCTATCTTTCTCTCAATTCCTGTCGTGGATAAATCGCTTTGCTATGGATTTTTGACGTATCTTGCACGAGAAATGGGCATACCTGAATTTGGGTGGCATGCGCTAGTAAATGGAAGTACCACAATTTCCCGAATCAAATGTGTTTCCCGAATCAACCGTCCTGACCTTCTACGAAGTAGTGGGTCAGATGCGATTTTGAAGCTCCTGACGAGTATCCGATACTGAGTGCCAATGACTCTCTAGGAGAATTAGCAAAGCAGAGCCAGCGGCGGGCCCGTTGCTCCTAAAATGCGACCTCGGCCTCAACCTCATATGCTTCATCCTCCACACCGTCCACAGCCACCTTTTTGGCGCCCATCTTACAGATAGCCACCTTCTCTAGCGGCACATCCTCCATCCAGACATGGTCCTCATACCGGTCAATCAGACCCGAGCCGTCGAACACCAGCCGCTCCCTCTTCCCCCAATCTCTCCCACCACGACCCCCACGACCACCTCCCCTTCCTCCCTTTCTCCTCCCGCCCGTGCCCACCTGCCCCTCAGTCGCATTTATCAGACCTTTTTGTTTGGAATAAACGGTATTCACCACTGTAGCATGAAGCAGCAACGGCCGGCCATCATCAACCATGAGCTCAGCCTGCATAAACGCATCCCTTACACGCTCGCAAAACGCCTGCAGCAGGCCGAGCGGGTCGACCGGCGGAGCGTAAAGCACCGCAGCCTTGGTAGGCACCTGCATGGAAGCCAAGCCGCGGAGCGTGATCTTTGGCGGTTCCAGGTCATCCTCACCCCCCGCGTTTGCCTGGGCAGCAGGCGTCTCAGTGCCCGGCATAACAGGGGCATTGGCCATCACGGCGCGCCAGATCTCCCTGAGATTCAGCCCGTTCAGCACCTCCTTAGCTTGGTCCAGCGTCGGCTTTGGCTTGAGATTGGGCTTGTTAGCCCCCTCTACCAAGCGCGCACCATCACCAGCAGCAGCAGCAGCATCCCCGTCCATGCTCGTAGCACCTTCCAGTCCGCCCGCCCGTCCCTCTCTTTTACCCTCCGCATCCCTCACTCTACTGCTCCCAGGCCCATCCTGCCGCCCTTCGCCAATCCTCTGCCCCTGCCCCTGCCCCTGCCCCTCGGTACTCCCCTCCCCATTACGCTGCCCGCGCTCTCTCGCCCCGGCAAAGCTAAACACCCCCAGGGTAAGATGCAGCGTGCCGACGGGACGCACCGCGTCCTCGGGGATCAACGGGAGGAGCGGCTGGCCGAAGCCACCAAAGTCGGTGGTGTCATTGCTTGCAGGAGGGCGGCAAGCATCTGCACGGAAGCTGGCCAGCGACGTGGCGAGTTGGGGCCGAGAGTGGGTTGAGACCAAGGGGATGCAGAGGAAGTGCGTTGGCACCGGAGGTCGGGGCTTTGGTGGCATTGATGCCCTTCCTTTTTGTCGCTCCCTCTTCTCTTGGCTTGCGTTTCGTTGTGGGAAGTCCTGGTTTAGTTTGTCTAAGTTGATATTGTAATAGGAAATGATGCTTGTCGCCCGTTTGAAGAGTAAGGGGAGCCGGACCGGGAGGAAGTGGTCCGTCCTTGATGCTTAGAGCGTGATGAGCGAGGTGGGTCACTCTTACGGGGGTTATACAACGTCCGCGGCACGAGAATTCCTGAGCACGAGGAAGACACTTGTCAAATCCAGGACTCTGTGAAGAGAAGCTGTGTCTTGCTGACCGTGAGTGCGCCTGTTGGGGGTCGGGAGATGATGACAGGCTTGAAATCACGAAGTGCTGTTGATTGTGCATAATGTAGGTCTGCTTTTTGGCGTCATAACAGGGCCTGTGCAACCGTCATACAATAGGACGACGATTTGTACGGGGTACTTCGTACTGTTATACTTGCATTAGGTATATTATAGGATAACAGTACAGTATTGTACTGTACATTACATAACAGTAACTCCGTACCTTACATCCGTTGCATACAATGGTACTCCGTACCGACCAGGAATTCGGAGCATTGTACGGAGGAAATTAAGGTACCTTACCCAGCACACGCAGGTGAGGCAGCCTCGAGATAGCCTCACAGTACATCACAGCACATTACCACAATTTGGCACGTACAGAAGGCAACACAATGGCACCAATAATAGCATGGATTTGGCACCCAGATCGTGGACGACGCCACTGCTAGCAAACTCAAAACCTAGACCATTTCTAAGCCGATTGCTCCTCAGCCTATTGATACGACTGCACGAAAACGCCCGTAGAGCGGCTCCGAGGAAGTCGAACAGGTAGCTGCCCATGCGCGATATAGCCACCTATGACTCGACAAGCCGTTCAGTGTGCCTCGTGAGCAGTTCTTCTCCTGCCAGCGCCGCTTGTGTGACTGAATTCATCCCCAGGAATAGCATAACGCATATCTGTGCCTCCCCATAGCTCAAATTCCCAATGCCCATTCGGACACGGTTCTCAAACTCGATGAGCGGCCCTCCTCGTTCGTTGCCGTTGTCGCTGTTGCCGTCGGCCAAGATGCTAGGGCATTGCCGCATCAGGCAGGGGCAGACGTTGCATCGGCCCCAAAATGGGCCGTTACTGCTCAGAATTCTTGAAGAACTTGTTCATCATCTTCTCCAGATCCGCTGTGTCATGTTTTGCGGTTTTGATGGCCTCCGTGATCTTTTTGAGACACACATCCTGGCTTGGTTCTCTCGTTCCATCCATGTTCAGTTCGTTCCCATACTGCTGAATCACCTGACAGCTGTCCCTGATCTTGGTGAACCCGAGTGTCGCCGAGGAGCCCTTCAAAAAGTGACCTAGAGCAGACAGCTCCTTGAGGTCCTGCTTGGCCCTGCAGGTAGAGAGCGAACCGTCGTTAGTTCCAGAGCCAGCGATTTTGCTTTGCGATCCATCGGTAAATGGGCCACAGAGGACCCGGTCCACAATATCCTGAAGGGCAAGAGAGGGAGTTTGGGGAGTTCAAGCATGGTGGGCTTGTTGAGATAGTTCCGCACAGCGAAACTCGACGATGTAGGAGAATGAAGTTGTAGCAACTCCAGTGGTTTACTCACAATGCCCGGTCCATCTTCGCAAACGTCTCCTGAGTCTGCTCGAAGAAGTTGAAAACTAGCGGTTGACTGAAGTCTCTGGTCTCGTCCTCATCCATCTCGAGGATCTGCTCGAAGATGGCAGGATCAACATGGTCTCCAAATTCAGGCATGATGGCAAATCTTTGCCTGTTCTGCCATCAAAATAACTCGATTAGCTGCCGGTACTTCCTGGGAAATTGGATACCACCGGTTCTTTGGAGTCGGCCCGCAATTAACGACGGCCGTTGCAGGAATGAGCGGGTTCCAGGACGAGGGACATGAAGCGCACGACGAGGCGAGGATTCACATCTCCACGGCCGTAGCTTCTAGCTGGCAGCATCCCATACTTCAAGCGCCCAGGGCTCTGCACAGGCGGAAGTGAGCGTAACGGGTATAATGTGTGTGTGATGGGTAACCCAGATGCGCCAGATCCATGGGATGGCGGATTGACGATATGCCAAGAAACGACACCCTCCTGGAATGCGCGAGCGGCTGAAGTGATGAGGCGTCCGCTAGAACCGGTGTGTAGAAGGCTTGATAACCAACTTACAGGAGAGACTGGGTCTGGAGTCGCAGATGATGAGAATTTGCACGCGTCTCTGAGCCGAGTTGACCTGTAGAGGTACCTGACAGGCACAGGACTGTCGGCAAGGCGATGTTTCCCGAGAGCTTTATTTGCGCGTCAATGACGCTGAACTACTCGATGCGCAGGTTAGGACGTGGCCGGTTACGCTCGAGAAATGCGTAAACACAGTGGCCGAGAAGAGAATGTCCTCACTGAAACTAAGAAGGCTGCCCGCAACAATGAGTCTTGAGTGCCCCAAGAGTGCCAACGCGACGAGTCGGTTGTTAGTGATGATGGGACTGCGGAAAAAAATATGGCGGGGTCGGAGGGAGGGGCCAGGAGAACTATACCGGTTATGCTCAAGCCGACGTAGGGAAGAAAGGTAGAACCTTGCGCAATGAGAATCCTAGAAGTGAAGGGTGGAGGAGGGTTGAATTGGAGCGGGGGATTTTTTTCGATCAGAATGTCACTTGCCCGATGTTCAGAGTATGTACCTCAGGCCGATGCAACGACGTGGTGGAGAATCAAGTGGAAGCCAGAACGGCAATGGCTGCTTCCTACGCTGGTTAGAGAATACTATAAAAGAAGGGCCGGCTTGTGAAAAGAGTCTGGTGCTGGTAAACGTAGTGAGCCAAAAGTTCACCCTTCCCTCTCTATGTCCTCATGCTCCTACCAATGTATGTACTCCGTCCGTCACATAAGATTACTTAAGAACAATTCGCCCTCTCAAACTCTTTGTATGGAGTATCTTGTTTCTCCCCATTTCTGCTGTGGACTGCCCTTGAGGCTGCCACGGCCTGGACTACGGTGGTGCTTTGCTGGCCCTGTGAGGTGCTCAGGATCCCCCGCTAAGGGACATGAGGTGCTTCCGTTTTGGGGCGGTGACGCAAGGTGAAGACTGCAGTCCAAAAGATCTGGTTGCTAGAAGTTAACGTTAATCAATTAACGTAGGCTACTCCGTACAGTACATACATCCCATGCAAATAGCGGTAGGTACAGCTACAGTAGAACCTGCGGGGTCAACCAGATACTTCATATAGGTGCACGTACCTAAGCGTATTCCGGCCAACAGTGGTACCTGAACCCCTTCGGACACGGCAATCGGCGTTGATAGGAAGCTGTCAGCTTAGCTTTGGAACCCTCGTATTCTGGTGTCCTTTAAAATGCTATTACTCTACTTCGTACCTCGCGGTGTTACCCCTGGCAGATAGGAGACACCGATCGGTCCCTCACCTCGTGGTATTTAGGTACTCCGTATATACACATATTTCGTACAATCAAGGTTACAGCATACACTCCAACCCCGTACCGCCATAACGAAAACCACTTGCACGTAATTACACCCACGCTTACAGGGCACCCAAAAGCCGCGATCATCCCAACTGAAAAATGGCAAGCAACGTGGTGTTCAGGTGCGGTCCCTCCACATTAAACTAACAAGCCGCTTGATCGGTTATCCGAAATCTCTGATTAGTTTCGGTGGGTTCCTTTGCAGCGGGGCTTTTGCACTATTACAAGTCGCACTACTGAGTAGGGCCTGCGTTATCCAGATCCCGCTGATCACTGCCTTCTCAAGCCCCAGCCATGGCCAGGTCCCCTAGCTTAATGCTACCTTAGCGAAACTGTAGTACCTCCGAGTCAGCCGCGATTAGAAGTCACTGCGCTTGCCGCCGACTAACGATTTTCTTGTGGTGGTACCTACG